TGACTAATTTGTGAACTAAATAACAATGTCTGGTCGTGGTAAAGGTGGAAAAGTAAAGGGAAAGGCAAAGTCGCGTTCCAACCGCGCTGGACTCCAGTTTCCCGTGGGTCGTATTCACCGTCTTCTTCGCAAGGGCAACTACGCCGAGCGTGTTGGTGCCGGTGCTCCTGTGTACTTAGCTGCCGTTATGGAATACTTGGCCGCTGAAGTCTTGGAGTTGGCTGGCAATGCTGCTCGTGATAATAAGAAAACTAGGATTATCCCTCGCCATCTGCAATTGGCCATCCGCAACGATGAAGAGTTAAATAAACTGCTTTCGGGCGTTACCATTGCGCAGGGTGGTGTTTTACCCAACATCCAGGCCGTTCTACTCCCCAAGAAGACGGAAAAGAAGGCATAAACTACCAGACTACTCTCAAATAGCATGTACATATGTAAAAAAACTCAATCAAACGTCCTTTTCAGGACGACCAAAATATGTAAAAGAGATTTAATTTTTCATTGACTATATTTGAATTCCCACGGTCGAAAAACGAAAAGAGAAATGTAAGAAAAGTACAGTTAGTGTCAAAACAGTATCATCTACCTGAGGAGTAAGGGTATTTCCTACTTTTTGCTCTTCGCTGTGAATTGTGTTTTTTTTTTTACTTACATTCACCGATAGACTCCTTAATATAACATTTCTTTTAATTTTTAATGTAAATTTAAAAATGAAATTTTATTTAATTAATTTGCTATATTTAGTAACTTTCTGCTGAAATTAACTAAATACACAGTAGCGTATTCTTGGCTGACGCTTCACTTGCTTTTTAAGTGGATGTGATGTGTGTGATGCCATAAAAGCAAATATTAAGCGCATGACATTTGCCAACGACCATACTACGCTGAATACATCGGTTCTCGTCCGATCACCGAAATTAAGCAGCGTCGGGCGCGGTTAGTACTTAGATGGGGGACCGCTTGGGAACACCGCGTGTTGTTGGCATCTATTTGGTGTTTCAACACTTTTTTTGTTAAATTATTTGTATTTTATAAAGCAAATGCTAAATAAAAGTATATTTCAGGTGCATATTACTTGGCTAGATATTGAATATTTTTCATCTCTTTTTAGTAAAGATTTGGTGGTCCTGAAAAGGACCGATTGGTATGACTGTACTTGTACATATTTGTATTTGGGATTTAGTTTTTAGCCGCCAAAACCGTATAGGGTACGGCCTTGTCTCTTCAGCGCATAGACAACATCCATGGCAGTGACCGTCTTCCTCTTGGCATGCTCGGTGTATGTGACCGCATCGCGGATAACGTTTTCCAAGAATACCTTTAGAACACCACGAGTTTCTTCATAAATGAGTCCTGAGATACGTTTCACACCACCACGACGAGCTAAACGACGAATAGCTGGCTTCGTGATGCCCTGGATGTTATCACGCAACACTTTGCGATGACGTTTAGCGCCGCCTTTACCCAAACCTTTGCCACCTTTACCACGACCAGTCATTTTTCACTTTTAATTCACACTTTACACCACGAATGCCAGAAACAAAGTAATGCTGCTTCGTCGCAAGCGCTTCTATTTATACCAAAAAGAGCAAACTCTTGAGCGAGTGCACAGATATTTCTATCCCGCTCACACACTACCCTCGCTTAACGAGCAGTTTTCTATATAAACGAGCAGCAAAACGAGCGGGCGATTATTGTGTTTTCAACAGTGAGAGTGTAAACAGTGTTGTAGAAAGAGAAAAATGGCGCGTACTAAGCAGACTGCTCGTAAATCGACGGGAGGCAAGGCTCCTCGCAAACAGTTGGCAACTAAGGCAGCACGTAAAAGTGCTCCAGCAACCGGTGGTGTGAAGAAACCTCATCGCTATCGTCCCGGTACAGTTGCACTGCGTGAAATTCGTCGCTACCAGAAGAGCACAGAGTTGCTTATCCGCAAGCTGCCGTTCCAGCGTTTAGTACGCGAAATTGCTCAGGACTTCAAGACCGATTTACGTTTCCAGAGTTCGGCTGTGATGGCTCTGCAAGAAGCTAGCGAAGCCTACCTGGTTGGCCTATTTGAAGACACGAACTTGTGTGCTATCCATGCTAAGCGTGTCACCATCATGCCCAAAGATATCCAACTGGCCAGACGCATTCGTGGCGAACGTGCTTAAATTGTAAATTGTAAAGCATCAATTGTAACCAAATCGGTCCTTTTCAGGACCACAAAATACTTTCAACAAAGAGATTTGAGTTTTCATAAATAATATTTGAATGAATAATTCAGCTATTCAGCTATACTTACGAAATATGTTTTTCCTTTAAGGGCTGTATTTCCATATATTTATTGCATATACTTAGGTATATTTATAAGCCAAACAATCTATTTTGTGTGTTAATAAGACTAATTTACTTTCTCCGCGTACTTTATTCGTTGTGGGAACTAAAAAAAGGTAATTTTGCAGTTGATTTTTATTTCATTAAAAGTCCAGCTAAAATATACTCTGATTGTGAGTAATTTGCGGCATCAATAGAATAGAATATGAAAATTAGTTTATTAAGTTGCTTCACCAGTAATGGAAAAATATTTTGAATTCTTTGAAAGGAATGATTTGTGGCCCTGAAAAGGGCCTTTTGCTGCTAGCTGCTCGCTGGTATTTCTGCCTGCAATTTACTTGGAGCTAGTGTACTTGGTGACTGCTTTGGTTCCCTCACTGACGGCGTGCTTAGCCAACTCTCCGGGCAGTAAAAGACGGACAGCGGTTTGGATTTCCCGACTTGTGATGGTTGAACGTTTGTTGTAGTGGGCCAAACGAGATGCCTCGGCAGCAATACGCTCAAAAATATCATTCACGAAGCTGTTCATGATGCTCATTGCCTTTGACGAAATGCCAGTGTCAGGATGGACCTGCTTCAACACTTTGTAAATGTAGATGGCATAGCTTTCCTTCCTCTTGCGCTTCTTCTTCTTGTCATTCTTGGTAATGTTCTTTTGAGCCTTGCCAGCCTTTTTGGCTGCCTTTCCACTAGTTTTCGGCGGCATTCTTAATACTTATTCACTTCACTTTGATTAACTTCACAAATGTGTGTTCAGCACACCGAAAATGCTTATCATATATACTTTCGTTTGAACGACGCTTTCATGTTAAAATCCACCACTGCGCTCGAAAATACTGCGCAGCTGTTCATTCCTAACCTGAAGAAGTAGGTAGCTGAAAAACTATAAATACAATGACGGCTTGTTTGTCGGAATCATTCGGTATTTGATATTTGTGTGTTGAGAGTGAATAATTTGTGAACTAAATAACAATGTCTGGTCGTGGTAAAGGTGGAAAAGTAAAGGGAAAGGCAAAGTCGCGTTCCAACCGCGCTGGACTCCAGTTTCCCGTGGGTCGTATTCACCGTCTTCTTCGCAAGGGCAACTACGCCGAGCGTGTTGGTGCCGGTGCTCCTGTGTACTTAGCTGCCGTTATGGAATACTTGGCCGCTGAAGTCTTGGAGTTGGCTGGCAATGCTGCTCGTGATAATAAGAAAACTAGGATTATCCCTCGCCATCTGCAATTGGCCATCCGCAACGATGAAGAGTTAAATAAACTGCTTTCGGGCGTTACCATTGCGCAGGGTGGTGTTTTACCCAACATCCAGGCCGTTCTACTCCCCAAGAAGACGGAAAAGAAGGCATAAACTACCAGACTACTCTCAAATAGCATGTACATATGTAAAAAAAAAAAACTCAATCAAACGTCCTTTTCAGGACGACCAAAATATGTAAAAGAGATTTAATTTTTCATTGACTATATTTGAATTCCCACGGTCGAAAAACGAAAAGAGAAATGTAAGAAAAGTACAGTTGGTGTCAAAACAGTATCATCTACCTGAGGAGTAAGGGTATTTCCTACTTTTTGCTCTTCGCTGTGAATTGTGTTTTTTTTTTTACTTACATTCACCGATAGACTCCTTAATATAACATTTCTTTTAATTTTTAATGTAAATTTAAAAATGAAATTTTATTTAATTAATTTGCTACATTTAGTAACTTTCTGCTGAAATTAAATAAATACACAGTAGCGTATTCTTGGCTGACGCTTCACTTGCTTTTTAAGTGGATGTGATGTGTGTGATGCCATAAAAGCAAATATTAAGCGCATGACATTTGCCAACGACCATACTACGCTGAATACATCGGTTCTCGTCCGATCACCGAAATTAAGCAGCGTCGGGCGCGGTTAGTACTTAGATGGGGGACCGCTTGGGAACACCGCGTGTTGTTGGCATCTATTTGGTGTTTCAACACTTTTTTTGTTAAATTATTTGTATTTTATAAAGCAAATGCTAAATAAAAGTATATTTCAGGTGCATATTACTTGGCTAGATATTGAATATTTTTCATCTTTTTAGTAAAGATTTGGTGGTCCTGAAAAGGACCGATTGGTATGACTGTACTTGTACATATTTGTATTTGGGATTTAGTTTTTAGCCGCCAAAACCGTATAGGGTACGGCCTTGTCTCTTCAGCGCATAGACAACATCCATGGCAGTGACCGTCTTCCTCTTGGCATGCTCGGTGTATGTGACCGCATCGCGGATAACGTTTTCCAAGAATACCTTTAGAACACCACGAGTTTCTTCATAAATGAGTCCTGAGATACGTTTCACACCACCACGACGAGCTAAACGACGAATAGCTGGCTTCGTGATGCCCTGGATGTTATCACGCAACACTTTGCGATGACGTTTAGCTCCGCCTTTACCCAAACCTTTGCCACCTTTACCACGACCAGTCATTTTTCACTTTTAATTCACACTTTACACCACGAATGCCAGAAACAAAGTAATGCTGCTTCGTCGCAAGCGCTTCTATTTATACCAAAAAGAGCAAACTCTTGAGCGAGTGCACAGATATTTCTATCCCGCTCACACACTACCCTCGCTTAACGAGCAGTTTTCTATATAAATGAGCAGCAAACCAGCGGACGATTATTGTGTTTTCAACAGTGAGAGTGTAAACAGTGTTATAGAAAGAGAAAAATGGCGCGTACTAAGCAGACTGCTCGTAAATCGACGGGAGGCAAGGCTCCTCGCAAACAGTTGGCAACTAAGGCAGCACGTAAAAGTGCTCCAGCAACCGGTGGTGTGAAGAAACCTCATCGCTATCGTCCCGGTACAGTTGCACTGCGTGAAATTCGTCGCTACCAGAAGAGCACAGAGTTGCTTATCCGCAAGCTGCCGTTCCAGCGTTTAGTACGCGAAATTGCTCAGGACTTCAAGACCGATTTACGTTTCCAGAGTTCGGCTGTGATGGCTCTGCAAGAAGCTAGCGAAGCCTACCTGGTTGGCCTATTTGAAGACACGAACTTGTGTGCTATCCATGCTAAGCGTGTCACCATCATGCCCAAAGATATCCAACTGGCCAGACGCATTCGTGGCGAACGTGCTTAAATTGTAAATTGTAAAGCATCAATTGTAACCAAATCGGTCCTTTTCAGGACCACAAAATACTTTCAACAAAGAGATTTGAGTTTTCATAAATAATATTTGAATGAATAATTCAGCTATACTTACGAAATATGTTTTTCCTTTAAGGGCTGTATTTCCATATATTTATTGCATATACTTCTTAGGTATATTTATAAGCCAAACAATCTATTTTGTGTGTTAATAAGATTAATTTCCTTTCTGCACGTACTTTATTCGTTGTGGGAACTATAAAAAGGTAATTTTGCTGTTAATTTTTATTTCATTAAAAGTCCAGCTAAAATATACTCTGATTGTGAGTAATTTGCGGCATCAATAGAATAGAATATGAAAATTAGTTTATTAAGTTGCTTCACCAGTAATGGAAAAATATTTTGAATTCTTTGAAAGGAATGATTTGTGGCCCTGAAAAGGGCCTTTTGCTGCTAGCTGCTCGCTGGTATTTCTGCCTGCAATTTACTTGGAGCTAGTGTACTTGGTGACTGCTTTGGTTCCCTCACTGACGGCGTGCTTAGCCAACTCTCCGGGCAGTAATAGACGGACAGCGGTTTGGATTTCCCGACTTGTGATGGTTGAACGTTTGTTGTAGTGGGCCAAACGAGATGCCTCGGCAGCAATACGCTCAAAAATATCATTCACGAAGCTGTTCATGATGCTCATTGCCTTTGACGAAATGCCAGTGTCAGGATGGACCTGCTTCAACACTTTGTAAATGTAGATGGCATAGCTTTCCTTCCTCTTGCGCTTCTTCTTCTTGTCATTCTTGGTGATGTTCTTTTGAGCCTTGCCAGCCTTTTTGGCTGCCTTTCCACTAGTTTTCGGCGGCATTCTTAATACTTATTCACTTCACTTTGATTAACTTCACAAATGTGTGTTCAGCACACCGAAAATGCTTATCATATATACTTTCGTTTGAACGACGCTTTCATGTTAAAATCCACCACTGCGCTCGAAAATACTGCGCAGCTGTTCATTCCTAACCTGAAGAAGTAGGTAGCTGAAAAACTATAAATACAATGACGGCTTGTTTGTCGGAATCATTCGGTATTTGATATTTGTGTGTTGAGAGTGAATAATTTGTGAACTAAATAACAATGTCTGGTCGTGGTAAAGGTGGAAAAGTAAAGGGAAAGGCAAAGTCGCGTTCCAACCGCGCTGGACTCCAGTTTCCCGTGGGTCGTATTCACCGTCTTCTTCGCAAGGGCAACTACGCCGAGCGTGTTGGTGCCGGTGCTCCTGTGTACTTAGCTGCCGTTATGGAATACTTGGCCGCTGAAGTCTTGGAGTTGGCTGGCAATGCTGCTCGTGATAATAAGAAAACTAGGATTATCCCTCGCCATCTGCAATTGGCCATCCGCAACGATGAAGAGTTAAATAAACTGCTTTCGGGCGTTACCATTGCGCAGGGTGGTGTTTTACCCAACATCCAGGCCGTTCTACTCCCCAAGAAGACGGAAAAGAAGGCATAAACTACCAGACTACTCTCAAATAGCATGTACATATGTAAAAAAAAAAAACTCAATCAAACGTCCTTTTCAGGACGACCAAAATATGTAAAAGAGATTTAATTTTTCATTGACTATATTTGAATTCCCACGGTCGAAAAACGAAAAGAGAAATGTAAGAAAAGTACAGTTGGTGTCAAAACAGTATCATCTACCTGAGGAGTAAGGGTATTTCCTACTTTTTGCTCTTCGCTGTGAATTGTGTTTTTTTTTTTTACTTACATTCACCGATAGACTCCTCTAATATAACATTTCTTTTAATTTTTAATGTAAATTTAAAAATGAAATTTTATTTAATTAATTTGCTACATTTAGTAACTTTCTGCTGAAATTAAATAAATACACAGTAGCGTATTCTTGGCTGACGCTTCACTTGCTTTTTAAGTGGATGTGATGTGTGTGATGCCATAAAAGCAAATATTAAGCGCATGACATTTGCCAACGACCATACTACGCTGAATACATCGGTTCTCGTCCGATCACCGAAATTAAGCAGCGTCGGGCGCGGTTAGTACTTAGATGGGGGACCGCTTGGGAACACCGCGTGTTGTTGGCATCTATTTGGTGTTTCAACACTTTTTTTGTTAAATTATTTGTATTTTATAAAGCAAATGCTAAATAAAAGTATATTTCAGGTGCATATTACTTGGCTAGATATTGAATATTTTTCATCTTTTTAGTAAAGATTTGGTGGTCCTGAAAAGGACCGATTGGTATGACTGTACTTGTACATATTTGTATTTGGGATTTAGTTTTTAGCCGCCAAAACCGTATAGGGTACGGCCTTGTCTCTTCAGCGCATAGACAACATCCATGGCAGTGACCGTCTTCCTCTTGGCATGCTCGGTGTATGTGACCGCATCGCGGATAACGTTTTCCAAGAATACCTTTAGAACACCACGAGTTTCTTCATAAATGAGTCCTGAGATACGTTTCACACCACCACGACGAGCTAAACGACGAATAGCTGGCTTCGTGATGCCCTGGATGTTATCACGCAACACTTTGCGATGACGTTTAGCGCCGCCTTTACCCAAACCTTTGCCACCTTTACCACGACCAGTCATTTTTCACTTTTAATTCACACTTTACACCACGAATGCCAGAAACAAAGTAATGCTGCTTCGTCGCAAGCGCTTCTATTTATACCAAAAAGAGCAAACTCTTGAGCGAGTGCACAGATATTTCTATCCCGCTCACACACTACCCTCGCTTAACGAGCAGTTTTCTATATAAACGAGCAGCAAACCAGCGGACGATTATTGTGTTTTCAACAGTGAGAGTGTAAACAGTGTTATAGAAAGAGAAAAATGGCGCGTACTAAGCAGACTGCTCGTAAATCGACGGGAGGCAAGGCTCCTCGCAAACAGTTGGCAACTAAGGCAGCACGTAAAAGTGCTCCAGCAACCGGTGGTGTGAAGAAACCTCATCGCTATCGTCCCGGTACAGTTGCACTGCGTGAAATTCGTCGCTACCAGAAGAGCACAGAGTTGCTTATCCGCAAGCTGCCGTTCCAGCGTTTAGTACGCGAAATTGCTCAGGACTTCAAGACCGATTTACGTTTCCAGAGTTCGGCTGTGATGGCTCTGCAAGAAGCTAGCGAAGCCTACCTGGTTGGCCTATTTGAAGACACGAACTTGTGTGCTATCCATGCTAAGCGTGTCACCATCATGCCCAAAGATATCCAACTGGCCAGACGCATTCGTGGCGAACGTGCTTAAATTGTAAATTGTAAAGCATCAATTGTAACCAAATCGGTCCTTTTCAGGACCACAAAATACTTTCAACAAAGAGATTTGAGTTTTCATAAATAATATTTGAATGAATAATTCAGCTATTCAGGCTTTAAAAAACGTTTAAATATAATTAGGAAATATTACAGAAGATAATTATTGCGAAATGTTTTACTCAATATACATAAATATATTATTTACTGTATTACAATCAGTATGTAAATAGCAAAGCAAGAAAAGCAGTAAATGTTTTTCGAATTGCAATTACAATAATGGATTCCCTTTTGAAGAAATGTATATAAATAAAGATTCAAGTTGCACATCTAATGTGTTGCTCGTGATTATATTACTTTCAATTTTGATGTGAACATGCAGTTCATATAATATTTTCTCATTCGATCCGATATATATGTTTCTTTAGAGAGACATGTCGTAATCTGATAGACAACAATGATATAAATAAAGAATAATGTGACTTTTAATAAGTTGCTCGCTTGATACGAGTATTGTGGTCATCTGGATGTTGCATGTACCATTCATCTGTAATCGTTTGATTTTGGTATTACAATAATTATCAAACAGATGTAACTGAAGTTAATATACATGTAATATATAAAATAAGTAGGTATTAATTATTCAAGAAGAATTTATATGTTTTCGATACATTTTTCTCTTGTTGCTTGCACTCCAAGCTAGTCAATTTTTTACAGCAAATGGCCAAGTTAAAAGCATGTTTAAAAAATGATTTAATCACTTCTATTCTTTTTAACTATTGTGTTTCAGTAAAGAAAAGTTTAAATAATACAATTAATATTATAATTTTCTAAATTTTGTTGTAATTATATTAAAAAGAGTTGTTTTTCACTAACAAATGTTGCGTGATGGAACAAATCGAGACTTTGCACGACTTCCACGACTCGGTGATTTAAGATAATAAATTCAAATCTATTATATTTAGTTGCTCAAATATTTTAAACATTATCCACATTTACATTCTTTTCTATTTGCAAATAAATCGATTGTAAATGGCAAATTAACAATAAGACGTTGGCAATCTTTCACATGACAAACGTTCAATGCCGTAAACATTCTCGTTCGGCTCTCCTCCTCGATTCTCACTCAATCGAGTGACCAAATAGCATGGTGAGTTTCAGCAAATTTGTACCATTAAAGTGTAAATCGTTGTGAAAGTGAACTAAAGTGAAATATGTCTGATTCAGCAGTTGCCACAATCGCCTCTCCCGTGACTGCCACACCAGCTGCAGCCGAGAAGAAGGTGGCCACCAAGAAGGCAGCATCAGGATTGAAGGCAAAGAGGACAACAGCTGGAGCATCACACCCGCCAACTCAGCAAATGGTAGATGCTTCGATAAAAAACTTGAAGGAGCGTGGTGGCTCATCGCTTCTGGCAATTAAGAAATACATTAGTGCCACCTACAAGTGCGATGCCCAGAAACTAGCACCGTTCATTAAGAAGTACTTGAGGACTGCAGTTGCAAGTGGAAAGCTGGTCCAAACAAAGGGCAAGGGTGCATCTGGTTCGTTTAAACTGTCTGCATCAGCCAAAAAAGAGCCGAAGCCAAAGGCTTCTCCTCTGGAGAAGAAAACCACAGCAGCATCAGCAGCAGCAGCAGCTAAAAAGAAGAAATCAGCTACAGTTGACAAGAAGAAGCCATCAAAGGTAGCCACCGCCAGCAAAAAGAGCGCTGAGAAATCGAAGGCAGATAAGGCAAAAGCAAAAGCAAAGGCAAAGGCAGTAGCAAAGGATGCTAAGAAAACGGGTACAGTAAAGGCTAAACCCACCACAGCAGATGCAAAAGCAAAGGCAAAGGCCAAACAAAGCGCAGCAAAGGCAAAGACGCCAAAGCCCAAGACACAAGCCACAAGTGCTAAGCCAAAGCAGGCAAAGGCAGTAGCAAAGCCAGCGACACCGAAAAAAGCTTCTGCCAAGAAGCCGAAGGCCGCCAAGAAGTAAAAAAACACTCTTAATCAGAGTAGAAGTGAAATTCGGAATTTCTTAATTGTGAAATTCGCCTTCGCATTTTAACAAAGCCCTTTTCAGGGCTACAATTTATGTATTTTTAAAGAGAGAAAAATATTTCCAGACTTATTCAGTATCTGTTTTTGCTTTAAAGACTATTTCCATATATTTGTTGCACACTTCGTAAGAATATTTATTTTGTGTGTTAATAAGACTAATTTACTTTCTCCGCGTACTTTATTCGTTGTGGGAACTAAAAAAAGGTAATTTTGCAGTTGATTTTTATTTCATTAAAAGTCCAGCTAAAATATACTCTGATTGTGAGTAATTTGCGGCATCAATAGAATAGAATATGAAAATTAGTTTATTAAGTTGCTTCACCAGTAATGGAAAAATATTTTGAATTCTTTGAAAGGAATGATTTGTGGCCCTGAAAAGGGCCTTTTGCTGCTAGCTGCTCGCTGGTATTTCTGCCTGCAATTTACTTGGAGCTAGTGTACTTGGTGACTGCTTTGGTTCCCTCACTGACGGCGTGCTTAGCCAACTCTCCGGGCAGTAAAAGACGGACAGCGGTTTGGATTTCCCGACTTGTGATGGTTGAACGTTTGTTGTAGTGGGCCAAACGAGATGCCTCGGCAGCAATACGCTCAAAAATATCATTCACGAAGCTGTTCATGATGCTCATTGCCTTTGACGAAATGCCAGTGTCAGGATGGACCTGCTTCAACACTTTGTAAATGTAGATGGCATAGCTTTCCTTCCTCTTGCGCTTCTTCTTCTTGTCATTCTTGGTGATGTTCTTTTGAGCCTTGCCAGCCTTTTTGGCTGCCTTTCCACTAGTTTTCGGCGGCATTCTTAATACTTATTCACTTCACTTTGATTAACTTCACAAATGTGTGTTCAGCACACCGAAAATGCTTATCATATATACTTTCGTTTGAACGACGCTTTCATGTTAAAATCCACCACTGCGCTCGAATTACTGCGCAGCTGTTCATTCCTAACCTGACAAAGTAGGTAGCTGAAAAACTATAAATACAATGACGGCTTGTTTGTCGGAATCATTCGGTATTTGATATTTGTGTGTTGAGAGTGACTAATTTGTGAACTAAATAGCAATGTCTGGTCGTGGTAAAGGTGGAAAAGTAAAGGGAAAGGCAAAGTCGCGTTCCAACCGCGCTGGACTCCAGTTTCCCGTGGGTCGTATTCACCGTCTTCTTCGCAAGGGCAACTACGCCGAGCGTGTTGGTGCCGGTGCTCCTGTGTACTTAGCTGCCGTTATGGAATACTTGGCCGCTGAAGTCTTGGAGTTGGCTGGCAATGCTGCTCGTGATAATAAGAAAACTAGGATTATCCCTCGCCATCTGCAATTGGCCATCCGCAACGATGAAGAGTTAAATAAACTGCTTTCGGGCGTTACCATTGCGCAGGGTGGTGTTTTACCCAACATCCAGGCCGTTCTACTCCCCAAGAAGACGGAAAAGAAGGCATAAACTACCAGACTACTCTCAAATAGCATGTACATATGTAAAAAAAAAAAAACTCAATCAAACGTCCTTTTCAGGACGACCAAAATATGTAAAAGAGATTTAATTTTTCATTGACTATATTTGAATTCCCACGGTCGAAAAACGAAAAGAGAAATGTAAGAAAAGTACAGTTGGTGTCAAAACAGTATCATCTACCTGAGGAGTAAGGGTATTTCCTACTTTTTGCTCTTCGCTGTGAATTGTGTTTTTTTTTTTTACTTACATTCACCGATAGACTCCTTAATATAACATTTCTTTTAATTTTTAATGTAAATTTAAAAATGAAATTTTATTTAATTAATTTGCTACATTTAGTAACTTTCTGCTGAAATTAAATAAATACACAGTAGCGTATTCTTGGCTGACGCTTCACTTGCTTTTTAAGTGGATGTGATGTGTGTGAGCCATAAAAGCAAATATTAAGCGCATGACATTTGCCAACGACCATACTACGCTGAATACATCGGTTCTCGTCCGATCACCGAAATTAAGCAGCGTCGGGCGCGGTTAGTACTTAGATGGGGGACCGCTTGGGAACACCGCGTGTTGTTGGCATCTATTTGGTGTTTCAACACTTTTTTTGTTAAATTATTTGTATTTTATAAAGCAAATGCTAAATAAAAGTATATTTCAGGTGCATATTACTTGGCTAGATATTGAATATTTTTCATCTTTTTAGTAAAGATTTGGTGGTCCTGAAAAGGACCGATTGGTATGACTGTACTTGTACATATTTGTATTTGGGATTTAGTTTTTAGCCGCCAAAACCGTATAGGGTACGGCCTTGTCTCTTCAGCGCATAGACAACATCCATGGCAGTGACCGTCTTCCTCTTGGCATGCTCGGTGTATGTGACCGCATCGCGGATAACGTTTTCCAAGAATACCTTTAGAACACCACGAGTTTCTTCATAAATGAGTCCTGAGATACGTTTCACACCACCACGACGAGCTAAACGACGAATAGCTGGCTTCGTGATGCCCTGGATGTTATCACGCAACACTTTGCGATGACGTTTAGCTCCGCCTTTACCCAAACCTTTGCCACCTTTACCACGACCAGTCATTTTTCACTTTTAATTCACACTTTACACCACGAATGCCAGAAACAAAGTAATGCTGCTTCGTCGCAAGCGCTTCTATTTATACCAAAAAGAGCAAACTCTTGAGCGAGTGCACAGATATTTCTATCCCGCTCACACACTACCCTCGCTTAACGAGCAGTTTTCTATATAAATGAGCAGCAAACCAGCGGACGATTATTGTGTTTTCAACAGTGAGAGTGTAAACAGTGTTATAGAAAGAGAAAAATGGCGCGTACTAAGCAGACTGCTCGTAAATCGACGGGAGGCAAGGCTCCTCGCAAACAGTTGGCAACTAAGGCAGCACGTAAAAGTGCTCCAGCAACCGGTGGTGTGAAGAAACCTCATCGCTATCGTCCCGGTACAGTTGCACTGCGTGAAATTCGTCGCTACCAGAAGAGCACAGAGTTGCTTATCCGCAAGCTGCCGTTCCAGCGTTTAGTACGCGAAATTGCTCAGGACTTCAAGACCGATTTACGTTTCCAGAGTTCGGCTGTGATGGCTCTGCAAGAAGCTAGCGAAGCCTACCTGGTTGGCCTATTTGAAGACACGAACTTGTGTGCTATCCATGCTAAGCGTGTCACCATCATGCCCAAAGATATCCAACTGGCCAGACGCATTCGTGGCGAACGTGCTTAAATTGTAAATTGTAAAGCATCAATTGTAACCAAATCGGTCCTTTTCAGGACCACAAAATACTTTCAACAAAGAGATTTGAGTTTTCATAAATAATATTTGAATGAATAATTCAGCTATTCAGGCTTTAAAAAACGTTTAAATATAATTAGGAAATATTACAGAAGATAATTATTGCGAAATGTTTTACTCAATATACATAAATATATTATTTACTGTATTACAATCAGTATGTAAATAGCAAAGCAAGAAAAGCAGTAAATGTTTTTCGAATTGCAATTACAATAATGGATTCCCTTTTGAAGAAATGTATATAAATAAAGATTCAAGTTGCACATCTAATGTGTTGCTCGTGATTATATTACTTTCAATTTTGATGTGAACATGCAGTTCATATAATATTTTCTCATTCGATCCGATATATATGTTTCTTTAGAGAGACATGTCGTAATCTGATAGACAACAATGATATAAATAAAGAATAATGTGACTTTTAATAAGTTGCTCGCTTGATACGAGTATTGTGGTCATCTGGATGTTGCATGTACCATTCATCTGTAATCGTTTGATTTTGGTATTACAATAATTATCAAACAGATGTAACTGAAGTTAATATACATGTAATATATAAAATAAGTAGGTATTAATTATTCAAGAAGAATTTATATGTTTTCGATACATTTTTCTCTTGTTGCTTGCACTCCAAGCTAGTCAATTTTTTACAGCAAATGGCCAAGTTAAAAGCATGTTTAAAAAATGATTTAATCACTTCTATTCTTTTTAACTATTGTGTTTCAGTAAAGAAAAGTTTAAATAATACAATTAATATTATAATTTTCTAAATTTTGTTGTAATTATATTAAAAAGAGTTGTTTTTCACTAACAAATGTTGCGTGATGGAACAAATCGAGACTTTGCACGACTTCCACGACTCGGTGATTTAAGATAATAAATTCAAATCTATTATATTTAGTTGCTCAAATATTTTAAACATTATCCACATTTACATTCTTTTCTATTTGCAAATAAATCGATTGTAAATGGCAAATTAACAATAAGACGTTGGCAATCTTTCACATGACAAACGTTCAATGCCGTAAACATTCTCGTTCGGCTCTCCTCCTCGATTCTCACTCAATCGAGTGACCAAATAGCATGGTGAGTTTCAGCAAATTTGTACCATTAAAGTGTAAATCGTTGTGAAAGTGAACTAAAGTGAAATATGTCTGATTCAGCAGTTGCCACAATCGCCTCTCCCGTGACTGCCACACCAGCTGCAGCCGAGAAGAAGGTGGCCACCAAGAAGGCAGCATCAGGATTGAAGGCAAAGAGGACAACAGCTGGAGCATCACACCCGCCAACTCAGCAAATGGTAGATGCTTCGATAAAAAACTTGAAGGAGCGTGGTGGCTCATCGCTTCTGGCAATTAAGAAATACATTAGTGCCACCTACAAGTGCGATGCCCAGAAACTAGCACCGTTCATTAAGAAGTACTTGAGGACTGCAGTTGCAAGTGGAAAGCTGGTCCAAACAAAGGGCAAGGGTGCATCTGGTTCGTTTAAACTGTCTGCATCAGCCAAAAAAGAGCCGAAGCCAAAGGCTTCTCCTCTGGAGAAGAAAACCACAGCAGCATCAGCAGCAGCAGCAGCTAAAAAGAAGAAATCAGCTACAGTTGACAAGAAGAAGCCATCAAAGGTAGCCACCGCCAGCAAAAAGAGCGCTGAGAAATCGAAGGCAGATAAGGCAAAAGCAAAGGCAAAGGCAGTAGCAAAGGATGCTAAGAAAACGGGTACAGTAAAGGCTAAACCCACCACAGCAGATGCAAAAGCAAAGGCAAAGGCCAAACAAAGCGCAGCAAAGGCAAAGACGCCAAAGCCCAAGACACAAGCCACAAGTGCTAAGCCAAAGCAGGCAAAGGCAGTAGCAAAGCCAGCGACACCGAAAAAAGCTTCTGCCAAGAAGCCGAAGGCCGCCAAGAAGTAAAAAAACACTCTTAATCAGAGTAGAAGTGAAATTCGGAATTTCTTAATTGTGAAATTCGCCTTCGCATTTTAACAAAGCCCTTTTCAGGGCTACAATTTATGTATTTTTAAAGAGAGAAAAATATTTCCAGACTTATTCAGTATCTGTTTTTGCTTTAAAGACTATTTCCATATATTTGTTGCACACTTCGTAAGAATATTTATTTTGTGTGTTAATAAGACTAATTTACTTTCTCCGCGTACTTTATTCGTTGTGGGAACTAAAAAAGGTAATTTTGCTGTTGATTTTTATTTCATTAAAAGTCCAGCTAAAATATACTCTGATTGTGAGTAATTTGCGGCATCAATAGAATAGAATATGAAAATTAGTTTATTAAGTTGCTTCACCAGTAATGGAAAAATATTTTGAATTCTTTGAAAGGAATGATTTGTGGCCCTGAAAAGGGCCTTTTGCTGCTAGCTGCTCGCTGGTATTTCTGCCTGCAATTTACTTGGAGCTAGTGTACTTGGTGACTGCTTTGGTTCCCTCACTGACGGCGTGCTTAGCCAACTCTCCGGGCAGTAAAAGACGGACAGCGGTTTGGATTTCCCGACTTGTGATGGTTGAACGTTTGTTGTAGTGGGCCAAACGAGATGCCTCGGCAGCAATACGCTCAAAAATATCATTCACGAAGCTGTTCATGATGCTCATTGCCTTTGACGAAATGCCAGTGTCAGGATGGACCTGCTTCAACACTTTGTAAATGTAGATGGCATAGCTTTCCTTCCTCTTGCGCTTCTTCTTCTTGTCATTCTTGGTGATGTTCTTTTGAGCCTTGCCAGCCTTTTTGGCTGCCTTTCCACTAGTTTTCGGCGGCATTCTTAATACTTATTCACTTCACTTTGATTAACTTCACAAATGTGTGTTCAGCACACCGAAAATGCTTATCATATATACTTTCGTTTGAACGACGCTTTCATGTTAAAATCCACCACTGCGCTCGAAAATACTGCGCAGCTGTTCATTCCTAACCTGAAGAAGTAGGTAGCTGAAAAACTATAAATACAATGACGGCTTGTTTGTCGGAATCATTCGGTATTTGATATTTGTGTGTTGAGAGTGACTAATTTGTGAACTAAATAACAATGTCTGGTCGTGGTAAAGGTGGAAAAGTAAAGGGAAAGGCAAAGTCGCGTTCCAACCGCGCTGGACTCCAGTTTCCCGTGGGTCGTATTCACCGTCTTCTTCGCAAGGGCAACTACGCCGAGCGTGTTGGTGCCGGTGCTCCTGTGTACTTAGCTGCCGTTATGGAATACTTGGCCGCTGAAGTCTTGGAGTTGGCTGGCAATGCTGCTCGTGATAATAAGAAAACTAGGATTATCCCTCGCCATCTGCAATTGGCCATCCGCAACGATGAAGAGTTAAATAAACTGCTTTCGGGCGTTACCATTGCGCAGGGTGGTGTTTTACCCAACATCCAGGCAGTTCTACTCCCCAAGAAGACGGAAAAGAAGGCATAAACTACCAGACTACTCTCAAATAGCATGTACATATGTAAAAAAAAAAAACTCAATCAAACGTCCTTTTCAGGACGACCAAAATATGTAAAAGAGATTTAATTTTTCATTGACTATATTTGAATTCCCACGGTCGAAAAACGAAAAGAGAAATGTAAGAAAAGTACAGTTGGTGTCAAAACAGTATCATCTACCTGAGGAGTAAGGGTATTTCCTACTTTTTGCTCTTCGCTGTGAATTGTGTTTTTTTTTTTTACTTACATTCACCGATAGACTCCTTAATATAACATTTCTTTTAATTTTTAATGTAAATTTAAAAATGAAATTTTATTTAATTAATTTGCTACATTTAGTAACTTTCTGCTGAAATTAAATAAATACACAGTAGCGTATTCTTGGCTGACGCTTCACTTGCTTTTTAAGTGGATGTGATGTGTGTGATGCCATAAAAGCAAATATTAAGCGCATGACATTTGCCAACGACCATACTACGCTGAATACATCGGTTCTCGTCCGATCACCGAAATTAAGCAGCGTCGGGCGCGGTTAGTACTTAGATGGGGGGACCGCTTGGGAACACCGCGTGTTGTTGGCATCCATTTGGTGTTTCAACACTTTTTTTGTTAAATTATTTGTATTTTACAAAGCAAATGCTAAATAAAAGTATATTTCAGGTGCATATTACTTGGCTAGATATTGAATATTTTTCATCTCTTTTGAGTAAAGATTTGGTGGTCCTGAAAAGGACCGATTGGTATGACTGTACTTGTACATATTTGTATTTGGGATTTAGTTTTTAGCCGCCAAAACCGTATAGGGTACGGCCTTGTCTCTTCAGCGCATAGACAACATCCATGGCAGTGACCGTCTTCCTCTTGGCATGCTCGGTGTATGTGACCGCATCGCGGATAACGTTTTCCAAGAATACCTTTAGAACACCACGAGTTTCTTCATAAATGAGTCCTGAGATACGTTTCACACCACCACGACGAGCTAAACGACGAATAGCTGGCTTCGTGATGCCCTGGATGTTATCACGCAACACTTTGCGATGACGTTTAGCTCCGCCTTTACCCAAACCTTTGCCACCTTTACCACGACCAGTCATTTTTCACTTTTAATTCACACTTTACACCACGAATGCCAGAAACAAAGTAATGCTGCTTCGTCGCAAGCGCTTCTATTTATACCAAAAAGAGCAAACTCTTGAGCGAGTGCACAGATATTTCTATCCCGCTCACACACTACCCTCGCTTAACGAGCAGTTTTCTATATAAATGAGCAGCAAACCAGCGGACGATTATTGTGTTTTCAACAGTGAGAGTGTAAACAGTGTTATAGAAAGAGAAAAATGGCGCGTACTAAGCAGACTGCTCGTAAATCGACGGGAGGCAAGGCTCCTCGCAAGCAGTTGGCAACTAAGGCAGCACGTAAAAGTGCTCCAGCAACCGGTGGTGTGAAGAAACCTCATCGCTATCGTCCCGGTACAGTTGCACTGCGTGAAATTCGTCGCTACCAGAAGAGCACAGAGTTGCTTATCCGCAAGCTGCCGTTCCAGCGTTTAGTACGCGAAATTGCTCAGGACTTCAAGACCGATTTACGTTTCCAGAGTTCGGCTGTGATGGCTCTGCAAGAAGCTAGCGAAGCCTACCTGGTTGGCCTATTTGAAGACACGAACTTGTGTGCTATCCATGCTAAGCGTGTCACCATCATGCCTAAAGATATCCAACTGGCCAGACGCATTCGTGGCGAACGTGCTTAAATTGTAAATTGTAAAGCATCAATTGTAACCAAATCGGTCCTTTTCAGGACCACAAAATACTTTCAACAAAGAGATTTGAGTTTTCATAAATAATATTTGAATGAATAATTCAGCTATTCAGCTATACTTACGAAATATGTTTTTCCTTTAAGGGCTGTATTTCCATATATTTATTGCATATACTTCTGAGGTATATTTATAAGCCAAACAATCTATTTTGTGTGTTAATAAGATTAATTTCCTTTCTGCACGTACTTTATTCGTTGTGGGAACTAAAAAAAGGTAATTTTGCAGTTGATTTTTATTTCATTAAAAGTCCAGCTAAAATATACTCTGATTGTGAGTAATTTGCGGCATCAATAGAATAGAATATGAAAATTAGTTTATTAAGTTGCTTCACCAGTAATGGAAAAATATTTTGAATTCTTTGAAAGGAATGATTTGTGGCCCTGAAAAGGGCCTTTTGCTGCTAGCTGCTCGCTGGTATTTCTGCCTGCAATTTACTTGGAGCTAGTGTACTTGGTGACTGCTTTGGTTCCCTCACTGACGGCGTGCTTAGCCAACTCTCCGGGCAGTAAAAGACGGACAGCGGTTTGGATTTCCCGACTTGTGATGGTTGAACGTTTGTTGTAGTGGGCCAAACGAGATGCCTCGGCAGCAATACGCTCAAAAATATCATTCACGAAGCTGTTCATGATGCTCATTGCCTTTGACGAAATGCCAGTGTCAGGATGGACCTGCTTCAACACTTTGTAAATGTAGATGGCATAGCTTTCCTTCCTCTTGCGCTTCTTCTTCTTGTCATTCTTGGTAATGTTCTTTTGAGCCTTGCCAGCCTTTTTGGCTGCCTTTCCACTAGTTTTCGGCGGCATACTTAATACTTATTCACTTCACTTTGATTAACTTCACAAATGTGTGTTCAGCACACCGAAAATGCTTATCATATATACTTTCGTTTGAACGACGCTTTCATGTTAAAATCCACCACTGCGCTCGAAAATACTGCGCAGCTGTTCATTCCTAACCTGAAGAAGTAGGTAGCTGAAAAACTATAAATACAATGACGGCTTGTTTGTCGGAATCATTCGGTATTTGATATTTGTGTGTTGAGAGTGACTAATTTGTGAACTAAATAACAATGTCTGGTCGTGGTAAAGGTGGAAAAGTAAAGGGAAAGGCAAAGTCGCGTTCCAACCGCGCTGGACTCCAGTTTCCCGTGGGTCGTATTCACCGTCTTCTTCGCAAGGGCAACTACGCCGAGCGTGTTGGTGCCGGTGCTCCTGTGTACTTAGCTGCCGTTATGGAATACTTGGCCGCTGAAGTCTTGGAGTTGGCTGGCAATGCTGCTCGTGATAATAAGAAAACTAGGATTATCCCTCGCCATCTGCAATTGGCCATCCGCAACGATGAAGAGTTAAATAAACTGCTTTCGGGCGTTACCATTGCGCAGGGTGGTGTTTTACCCAACATCCAGGCCGTTCTACTCCCCAAGAAGACGGAAAAGAAGGCATAAACTACCAGACTACTCTCAAATAGCATGTACATATGTAAAAAAAAAAAACTCAATCAAACGTCCTTTTCAGGACGACCAAAATATGTAAAAGAGATTTATTTTTCCATTAACTATATTTCAATTCCCTTTATCGAATAACTTAGCAATGTAGAAGAATATCTACGGTATTAAGGGTATTTTTTCCCGCATAAATCGCGGAAGGGGAAGCAACATCCAGTTGAGCAGCGCGTGCTGAGGCTACGCTTCTCGTATAAAATCAAAAAATAAATAAATAACAACAAAAAAGTGTTCCCATCCCATTGCCCATTACGCAATACCGAAATTATGCGTTGGAGGACCGCTTGGGAGCGAGGACTTTTCGTGCTGTTGACATCTTGTATTTATTTTTAAAATTTATTGTTATTCGTATTTAATAAAATACTACACACAAAACAGTATTTGATCGAATGAAACTTATCCCGTCCTAGTGTTTTTTACATTGCCTCACATTGACAATCCCCTCAAGCAAACCAAGTTTAAGGAATATTTTCAGGAGCATATATGCACCGAGAGAAAAGTGACTATAAGTGACTAGGTGAAACATTCACTCCCAGAGTGATCGGAAATCGAAATCAGAAAATATTTGTCTAAAAAATTAATGTTTGATAGTCGAATCGTGAAAAGGTTATGGTTAACTTATTGCTTTATTGTTCATGCTAACGAAGGACTTTCGCTGGAGATGGCCAAGTTAGGCCACCATATTGTGTTGTTGTGTTCTCGAATATTGAATGCAAATTTTCATATGAGCTGCAAAATGTTTGCACCTTAAAGATCCTTAAGAAAATGGTCGATATTTGACTTAAGGATGTTTTTTTTTTTTTGGTAATATAGCAACAGTTCTATCGTATCCGTAAGGATCTGGTAATACGGCAACATGAATTTTGCTAGCTTTCAAATTAATATACAAGAATAGATGTATATACATTTAAGATTCATTTTTCGAATATTTATTTATTCACGGCAGTTTCAAGTGAAGTTGAATGGAAAAAAGAAACGTTCAACACGTTATTTGTGGCTTATTTCAGTGTGGGATTTGGTCACGAAAATGGGACCACTCCTTCTGATAGTATTGATAAAGAGCAACCGGATCGCTGCGCGGATACTTCTCTTTCAGTTTCGCTTGGCTGCGCACTAAAAACCGAAATAAAGAAAAATTAATATTATAATAATAAATTAAATTTTTTTTTTTTTTTTGGTGAATTACCCTTTGATGGCTTGCGGCTTGTACTACGCTGACGAGATTTACGCTGGCATTGCGAGGCACGTCGCTGCTTGGGGCAATCCTCGCCACTGGACGCATCTCTGGTTCGCTCCTTGGACGGCTTGCGAGTCCGGCTGCGACTGCTGCGCACAGATTGATTCGATTTCTGCGGCTCCTTGGACGCATCTAGCAGAAGCTGTTCGCGAAACAAGCTGGCCAAGTCCAAATTGGTGGCAGCTCCTCCGCTGGCCAAGCGCTGCTCCGTCGGTGGCTGCCTGCTGTTGGTGGTGGGTGTCGATGATGGGGCCACATTCTCCTTTGCTGTCCCGCTGTCGTCTCCTAGTTTAGCGCGCGAGCTGATCGTGTTCCGCTTATACAGACTGCTGAAATAGTCGTCCTTCTGGTGGGGCGCCAAGCGTTCCTCATGTTTGATAAGCTTGCGCAGGTCTGAATGGGAGGATCAAAGAAGCATCAGACTCGGGGTTAAGAATAAAGGAAATTTGTTACTTGCTTTTTTTTTTTAAATGAGAAATGCATTTGCTTTATAGATATTTTGTAATTGCGTGTTTTAATGGACTCTTTTTGTTTTTATTTTTAGGCTTTTACAATTGCTTTTGGTTTTATATTCTTGTTATACATAATTTGAGCATGATGTTGAATTTTTATTTATTTATTTAAATTAAATGTTCTACTTACACAATTTATGTCTGCATTTTTCTTGTTTCGTTTTTTTTTTTAATTTTTAATTTTTACTTGTTTTATTGTTTTTGTAGTCTGCTAGGGCGCTTGAAAGAGCACGGAATTTGTTCTAAACTAATAAAATTAAACTAAGCTTATTTTACGTATTTTTGAAATGTAGCCAATGACAGGATGTATATTATTATGTGGAACGGTCTATACATAAGGTTTTGAACGATGGCGACACTGAATGAGAATGCATAATAATTTACAGCTGGATGAGAGAGGGAGTGGATGAATGGATGGTGGAAGAGAACGGAAATTGTGCTGATTAAAACTAATGAACAATATTCTTGCATCTGCTCCACGGTTGTTCCCTATCGACTTAACAATTTTACACTAAAACTAAACAATTGTTAAATGGTTACTTACATATACACAAATATATATATATTTTGTAGCAGCCACAACTAAATTAAATAGTGCTGCTCACTTCAAGCTGCTGATCGATACAACGATACCGATATATCGCATGCTATGTTACAGAGATGCTTAACAGTCTTAGTTGTACATCACTAGTGGCCTGTTAACTACATTTACATTACTAGTGGGTGGCCTCTGCTACAATATATATATATTTATGTATACAAGTATATATAATGTATATGTATATTAATGATAGTGACGAATGACGAGCGAAATGTGATCAGCGACGATATCGAAAGCGGCGAAATGGCGCCCGCAGTCGCCGGCATGTGACACGCACCTCCTTTTTAAGAAACTGTGAAATGGCCAGCGATTTAACAGCCGCCGTTGCCGCCGCCGCCGCCTCTGCTGCACAGCTGCTGGCCGCCTTCTTTCCATTGTTGGGTGGCGCATATTTCGAGATGTCAAATTTACGTTTGGGCGTCCGTTGCTGCTGCTGTTGATGCGTGCAGTGATCGAGTGCATCGCCCGCTTGAGTGTTGCTCAGATCGAGATCGGTGTCCAAGCCATCCGAGGACACGGTGAATATATCGGAATTATCGCCCAGCTTCTCACTCGGTGATATACAGCTGCCCAGACTCCCATTCAATTGGGGTGTTCCTCGCTGCTGCTGCTGGCGAGCTGTTTGCTGTGTGCTTGGCGTGGATGTGGCACTCAAGCGGTGATGATGCAACTGATGAGGTTGATGATGATGATGATACCCATTGCTGGTTAGCAGCGATGTCTTCTTATCCTCGGCTGTCTTCTTGACAGGCGACTCCTCCTCTTCATCCTCTTCTTCCTCCTCGTCGTCGTATGAGATGCGTCGTGCACGTTTCTCGGTAGGCTCAATGCTCAGTGGATCTGGCTTTATGTGCTCATCGCCAAAAGCATCTTCATACACATCATCATCGTCATCATCATTGTCATCATCATCATCATCATCTTCTTCGACATCCGCATCGGTTGCTTCGATTTCAACCTCACCATCCAGCTGTTGATCAACGGAATCAGCCATTGTTTCATCATCATCCTCGTCGGCATCATCCTCATCGGGATTATCCTCATCGGCTTCATTGTCGACCTGGCTGGCGACTTCATCGTCCACATCTGTCGCTGGTGGCGTCATTACAGCATTCTCGCGATTCTTTCTGCTTTTCTCCTTGTCTTCAGTGGCGACATCACCTCCACTTGCATTCCCATCCGCTTCGCCATCAGCATCGCCAGCATCATCTCCATCTGCATCTCCTTCCCCTTCCCTGTCCTCGTCTAGATCCTTGCCCATCTCTTTATCGGTCGTTGTGGTTGTGTTTGTTGTCGTCGGTGTCGTCGTCGTCAAAGCCAGCTCCTCTTCAATTTCGAGCGACTCCTGCTTTAAGCCTGGCTGCCTTACAGTCTCCTCCTTGCCTTCCTCCCCTTCTTCATCCTCGTCCTCCTCCTTCACCTGCTGCTGCTCCTTGGCCACTTTACGGGGCAACAGTCTGGCCGCCGCCCGACGCCGCTGGGTTCGGGGCCAACCCGTCCGATTCGATTTGAGGCACTTGCGCTTGCGTTGATAGCTGCAGTACAAGTTGATCCGGCTGTTCCGATCGTCATCATCGCCACTGGCCGCACTGCCGCCGAGCAGATCGCACAGATCGAACTCGCTGCTGAAACAGCCATCGGTGGGCGGCGGCGTCTGAGGCGCTGCCGCATCCACTTCCATGCTGCACTCGGCACTCGGATCAAACTCACGTCCCGCCAGCTCCAGATATTTGTCAATCTGCCAGGCGACTAGCAATGGATTCACATAGTGCGCACTGGCATCCAGAGACTTTAGCGCACTGGCCTCCATCTCGTACTCGAGCAAACCCTTCTTGCTGGGCAGCTTGCGCACACCAGCGACTAGACCCAAGCCCGCTGCTTGTTGCTGCAGCCCGGCCACTGTCAGCTGGCGTCGCTTGCTCCGCTTGCTCAGCAGGTGTTGTCCGGTTGCCGTCTTCGATGCGTTCTCCCGCCGACCTGCCGCTGCCAATTCCAGGCGCCGCGAGTAGCTGCCGGCAGTCGGACGACGACATCGGCTTGGCGGAGGCGGCGCCGGCTGCTGGATTAAGGCTGGGCCACCTTGGACCGAGTCGTACTTGTTTTGGCCACGACGCATTCGCTTCACAGTCTCACTGATCTCCGTGGCGAAACGTAGCTCCTCGACAGGTGTCGCCGCTTGCGAGCGCGTCTTGGCAACAGTTGGCAACGGTTCCGGTTCGGTTTCCGGCTCCCGCTTGGTCAACTTGCTGGGAATTACTGTTGTTGTTGGCTCCTCCGCCTCCGAGTTGGTTTTGCTCTGTGAATCCTGTCGCTGGCGTATGATGCAACTGACCAGGGCCAGTGTCGATGCATGCTCGCGCGGCGACTTGCGTGGCGGCAGCTCGCTAATCCGCGCCAGTTGCTTGTGTCGGCGACAATTGAGACCGGATTTCTGACTGCGGTTGCTGCAGGTGCTGCTCGAGTTGCTTTGCGTGGAGGCCAGTTCCAGCAGCTGGGCGTGCTCAAACTCACGCTCCAGCAGCTCCGGTGTGCTCGCCTTGCTATCACATTTGGCTATGGGGCTTGGTATTATGGCAGTGTTTAATCCTTGTTGTTGCTGCTGCTGTTGTTGTTGCTCCTGCTGATAGCGCTGGAGCAGATGCAGCTTCTTGTGCTTGTACAACGAGCTAGAGGAGGAGGCGGCGGCGGATGTTATCGTCTTCTCCAGCTTAATCATCGTCTCATCCCCCGCCTGCTCCTTGCTGCGACACATTGTGCAGCTGTGCGCACTTGTCCGCTCCATGGGTATCGGTCCCAGTTCGTAGGGCAGCTTGCGATACCTGGTCGTTCCATAGTAACTGTAATAGTGCTCGTCGCCGGTATCCTGCCGCTGGAAGACACGATGCCACAAATCGGCACCCGGCAGCTCCTCAAATGCGTAGCGCAGCTTCTGCAAACGTTCGCTCTTGCTGCAGTCAAAGATTAGATCTGTAGACACAGTGGTTGCTGCTGCTCCTTTTGTTGTCGCCTTTGTTGTTGCAGCTGTTGTCGTTGCTGGTTGTTGTTTGGCTTGCTTTGTTTTGGCTTTGCTGCATCTGCGCATTGGTGAGGACTTCAGCTTCTGCTGCTGCGGCTGCTCCTTCTCCTGTTTTGGTGCTGGGCATCTCTTGAGATTGATGGTCAGACGTGAGAGGCGTCTTGCTGCTCGCTCCTCGCGACTTGGCAACGTTGGCAGCGAGCACTTCTTGAGCAGCTTCCCATTTGCCACATAGTCCTCATCGCTGCCCGAGGAGCTAGACTCCTCTTCCTCCTGCTCGTCCAGACTATCCTCCTCTTCATCCTCATCTGATGTTCTTGTTGCTGTTGCTATTGCCAGCTGCTGTTCGACTTTGTTCTTCGCTTGTGTTACTGCTTCCCCCATCCGATCCTCCAGGTTGCCACCACCGCCACGGCGTCGTCGTCGCAGCTGCAGCTGACTGCTGGTTGTTGCCGCCGTCACAATCGCCGTTGCCATGCGGCTACTTTTCCGCGTTGCCGTCGCCGTCGTCGATTGGCGTCGTTGTTGCTGCTGCTGCTGCTTCATCAGCAGTTGCTGTTGTTGTTCTGGTTGTGGTTGTATCTCTGGCTGGATGGGGGCGTTTGGAAAACGCTGCTGCTGCTGCTGTTGTTGGCCACTATTATTGCTGGTGCTGCCCGTGGAAATCTGCCCCTTTCTCCGCCTGCCCACGGCCGTGGCACGCTTGCCTTCAGCAGCAACTTGCAACTTAAGTGGCACCTCTGCCTCGCTGGTGGTGGCACTGTCCAGACTGGCGGATGAGATACTCGTCCGTCCTCGCACATCCGACGTAGTCTGGCGATCCACATCGGTGGCCAGTTCGCTGCTGCTGCGCGTCGTCGTCGTCGTTGTCCTGGGGAACATGAAGTTCTCCGCCTCGCCATTCAGACGCTGCAGTTCGGATTGTCGCACCTTCTGGAATTTCACAATCAAGGAGGGCGAGTCCAGCACGGTGGTGTTGTTAGCGAGTCCACGTCTAATTCTCGGCGTTGTCGTCGTCAGTGGGTCGTTGGTATCCACAACCTTGTAGAGGGAGGAGGGCGGCAGCATGGCACGCATCGGTGGCGACAACACAGAATTTTGTGTCTTGCGACGTGTTGTTGACGTTGCTGGTGCCGGTGTTGTTGTTGTTGTCGGAGTTGGAGGCGTCAGATCCGGCTGGGAGGCGGGAGTTGTTTGTGAATTTGGCGTCGTCGCTCGAAACTTCTCCGAGTAATGCTTGCCCTTGGTGATCCGCTTGGATTTCTCACGTAACGCGGGCGGCGTCGGCCTTTGTCGATTGTTATTACTACTGCTGCTGAGATTTGCATCGTTGCTTTTTGTTTGATTGAGGCATGAAATGACGCTACTGCTGAGCAGCTCATCCACATCCATGTCGCTGTCTTCGGTGGTCACTTCTCTCTCTTTTTCTTGCTGCTGCTGCTTCTCGAGGAATCCCTCCACGCTGGCCGATACCTGAATGAGTGAGTCGAGAGCGTAAAAGTTGTGCGAGTTCTTCGCAAACAACTCGTGCTCCTTGCTCTGCAAGTGCAGCGTCAACGTATCGTATTCGATCTTGCAAATCTCACAGACGCCGCACTGCTTCTCGCTGGACTCCTTGTGCGAACGTGGACTCGCCTCGTCTGCTGGCGCTGCTCCGGTTTGCTTCTTGAGCGCTTGCAACTGCAACGGTTGCGCTGCTGCTGCTGTTGTTGCCACCTTATCCTGTTGACGCTGCGATGTCCGTGAACCGAGCGACTTGCGTGTCATGCTACTCTGCACCTGGGCCGCCCTTGTTGTCGTCTGCAAACGGAAGGCGCTCTCCTCGCTGCTCCTGCTGCTGCTCAAATCGATTTTGGGCCACTCCTCCGGCTGCTTCAGCAGATGATAGTAGGGCCGATGGTTGCGTCGTATCGATTCGATCTTAATGAAATTACCCCTCAGCTGGATAATATTCGATGGGTATTGAGCGGCCTGCCCGGAAGCAGCAGCAGTTGTTAAGGCGCCGCCTTGCACCAAATACTGACGCAGCTCAGTTTGTATGCGCTGAAAGAAGCGTAGTGCGTATTCAGTCTTCCAGATGGTATAACTTAATTTGCAGCTCTCTTTTCTATTATTATTAATATTGTTGTTATTCTGATGTTGCAGTTGCTCCGTTTGTTGTTGTTGTTGTTGTTGTGCGGCGCGCACACGACTCAAAATTGCATCGGCGCGCGTTTGCCGACTCCGGCGCTGAATACCCGCTGTGCCATCCTCCTGGATGATTGCAGTTGTTCCAGTTGTTGCTGATGTATTTGTATTTGACGCTTCTGGTGTCCAGCTTTTGTCCTTGTCGGTTATGAAGTGCGTAATACTGTCGTTCAGGAAGAACTCGAGTGTGCCGCCAAGCGCCTTGATTTCGGCCTCAATGCGCCTGGTTAGCTGATGATCGCAAATGTCCAAATAGAATTTGAAATGGCAAAGCGGACGCTTGCTCTTGATCACCTTTACTTTTGAGCGATGAGGAGAAGGCGGCGGCGGCTGTTGCTGCTGATGGGGCTGTTCTGGATGGGGCTGCTGTTGCTGAGAAGGAATTGCTCTTGTTGCTCTGGCTGTTGCTGTTGCGAGTTTGCTTTTGCTAGCACTTTGCTTATCCGACTGTGGTTGCATACCTTTAGGCGCAAATGAGCTGCATTTGTTGTTTGTTGTTGTTGTTAGACCAAGAATTAGAGAATTAAATTGAGAATGAAATTAGTTACGTTATGAGAAGCACTTAGCCTAGTGAGGACAGCAGCATCCAGTCAGCCAGCAAGCCAGCCACCAACCATTTAAAAGCACATTTCAGCATCCATCATCCACTCCGTTTTCTCTCCTTCTCTTTGTGTAACTCGTTTTAGTTCATTTGTACTTTTTAATTCACACAAAAATCAATACAATTACAGTAAAGGTGCATTCAAAATAAATTCATTTATAAACAACAATCAAGAGTCGATTCATTCTTCAAACACAAAAACAGAACCGATTCAAAAAACAGTTGTTTTTTAATGCAAACAGAAAAAATAGGTAAAAAAAAAAAGAAAAACACTACATAAATATGAATTAAGTCGTGGCATTATTTTTTCATCGAAAGCAAAAGTAAAATTAGTGCATTAACTCAAAACTCAAAATTTGAATTTCCCGCTAAAGTTTGATTTTATTGGCTGGCTAGAGATGGAACTTAATCAATTTACTCTTTGTTTTGCCATGTATATGTGCTGATCGATTTATTAGTGCTGATAACCCAAATTGAATTGATTCGTTCTGCAAGCACGAAAACAGCACAGTGCAAAATACAGTTGCCTTTTAATGTATTAAAATGAAAAAAGAAAATCAAATAAAACTTTACTTAATTCATGACATTATTTCGTAGAAAGCGGAAGCAAATCAAATTAGTGTACTAGTTCACCGCTCAAATTTGATTTATTTACGTGCTAGGGATGGAACTTCATCAGTTTTTTCTGTGTTTTGCATTGTTGCACATCGATTACTTGTAATGTTTATCAGTGTTAATAACCTAAATTTGTAAACACACAATTTGCGCAATTATATATTGAAAAAATATGAGCTTTCCATAAGAACAGAAAGCGAGCACAAGTTTGGGTATGATTTCCCAACATGTGGCAGAAACGTGATTAGAGTGATACAACACAATACACACATGTGTATGAATTTATGCACATATGTATGTACAACACAAACATTAAACTTGTGTGTGCAGGGTTGAAGAAGTAACAACAACAACCACGAGTCGGTGACCGTTTGGCTAACAGAATAAGAATAAAGAGAAGCAGACGTTAAATTTTATTCAACGAATATACATGCACAGACATGCACAAATACATAGCAATAGCGTATTTTTGTTGTTTTCTTTTTGGCAGCTGCTTCGTAATCGGAAGAGGTTGCACAGTGGTTCATATAAATCATATACAAAATATTATTGCACTTTTCGATAACCAGCTGTTTTGCAAACGGACGCCGTCGCCATTGAAAACAGAATAGCGAACAGCAAATATGTAAAAATTGTGTGCAAAACGTAAAAGGCAAAAACGGTTTGAATTTCAACTCGGACAAAGTCAGAACACAACAAGAGTAAAAAAAATGGATAGGCAAAGAAGAGAGCAAAGCAAAGACAACAAATCGTACATATATACACTTAAAACACACACATAGAGCCACATATATTTATGTGAAGTTGTTGCTGCGAAACTTCAGCAACTGAACTAAAAACCGTATATTGTATACATAGGTGGTACACACATATATATGTATGTATGTAAATATGTGCGTGCGTGCACATTTTACATGTTTCGTATGCGATGCGATGGAGCCCGAAACATGTTCACACAAACACACGCATACATACATAAATATACAGGGCGACAGAGCAGTTGCCAGCACAACGACCAAAGCAGCGGCAAGCGGCGAACACAACAGCAAACGTTTACTGTTGTTGTTGTCGTCGTCAGTCGAAAAAAATGCTTTGCTAAAGCGCTTGCAATCGAATGAATGTACATACAAAAATACATATATATACATACATACACACACACATGCATATTCATGTTTGCAAGTATACGTTTGTATAAGCCTCAAGTACACAAAGCGCTATGGCAAAAATGTTTTCGTTATTTCTGCTTTGTTATTTACAATTTACGAGTAATTCTCTCGTTCATTTTGTCGTCGTCGTTTCTCTTGTATTTTTTTGTGAGAAAATCAAAGAAATAAGCAAACCAAAATGGTGACGAATCAAATGTTCGTACAAATTGAACGAAAACAGAAATAAACTCTTGCTGTAAAATTCAAATGCAACACTTTTAAATGCTTATTGCATTCACCACTACATAGGCACACAAACACTGACACACACAGACACGCCACATGGAATGGCGGGAATTGCTGGCGCTGCTGCTACTGCTGACTGGGATTGTTTTTCTTACCTTTTAAGAATTCACGTAGTTGTTCCGCTGATATATTCCTATAGCCCAATTCATTTAGGTGCTGAAGTATAGCCCGAGCATCCAATGGCAAATGTGACATTTTTCCAGCAAAAGCATTGACTGATTTATATTCGATGTATGAAATTGTTAAGTTTTAGTTCACACATACACACACACGCACGCACACAGCACCAGTTTCTCTTTCCTTCTTTTGTTGTTGCTCCGTTTTCTTTGCTGTGTTCACTTTGTGTGTGTGTTTCGTCGTGCTTCTTCTTCTTGAGCCCGCTTTTGTGCTGCTGCCTGCCGACAATCGAAGCAAGACAAGCAAGAAAATTTTCACTGTACCTTTTTTTTCTCTTGATTTTTTATTTGATATTGTCGCACGCCTCACACGTTGAATGTGTGTTTGTCAGACGTTCAATCGCTAAAATGTATTTATTAGTGTTGAATTGCATGGGAGAAGTACACACAATAAAACGACTTCAAATCAGCGTCGTCGTCGCTGTTGTCGCGTCACTTTTATGTGTTGTTTTATGCCGATTGTTTAGCGCACTGAATTGCCAAAACTGTTTGCGTTGCAGCACATGAAAATATCGCCTTTTTGTGAATGTGTGTTTTTCACATATTTGTTCAAATGATTTTATAACAATTTCCACAACATTAATGCACACGCATTTACACTCAGCTCGCACAACAACTCTTCAATGTACTGCAATGGTTGCTATCGATATCAGTGTGTGTAGCACTAGCGATGGCATTCTGCTGAGTATCGATACCCATATATCGTATCGTACTCGTAAAAGGTACTTATTTTTTCTTGTTTACGCTTTTGTGTGCATCTGCATCTGGTTGTGCGTCCGTTCCCCATTTTCTACTACTAGTATTCACTACAAATATATATATATATATATAGATATTTTGAGTATGTCCCGTCACTATAACGCATATCTGCTCTGTCTGCTCGTCGTAGGTGAGTGCCAGCGAGTCCCATTTTACATTCACAAATATATAGATAATTGAAAAAAAATATGTTAAATTTTGGTGTTTTTCTCTGGTTTTGTACGAAGCCTGCAGTTGTATGATATCCAACGTTGATGGCTATAGCCGCGCATACAGAAATCAGCGAACGTCGACAACGACGACGACATCAACAACGCCAGCGCCTCAAACGCCCAAAGAGTATTTGGACAGCAAGTCGAGTTTCTCCACTTTCGGAATAATTTCGATAATATTTACGATAATTGTGCTCTCGCTGGTCTTCTACTACGGCATCATGTGCTATCCGCTGCTGTGTCGCGACGACAAGAAGTACCGTTTCATGGACGTATCGTCCACGATTACGGCGGCCACATCCCGTTCCATACAGTCCATCGAAAACTATCCGGTTGATCAGAAGCACAACAATCACCACCATCAACTTGCCTGAGTGCCACAAACAACTCTCCTTTCACTCATCGAATATTTGCGCAAAGAACAAACAAATTAGGGCTTAAACGAAAGAGACTTACTAAAACACACACACATTCATATATGTATATATATATATATATATATATATATAAAGATGATTCATACTCATTCCAAGTTAAGAAGTCACGCTTCAAGTTTGGTCAATTCTTTGTTGTTGCTCAACACTTGCTGTGAATTTGGAACATAAATGACGAATACTTTTTTGAGATACACTTACAATTTATTAGCTATAGTTGAACGATGAAAAAAATATACACATTTTTCTCGCAGGTTGTACTTAAAGCAAACGAACGTACTTAATATACTTATATATGTTTTTATATACTCCCCCTTTACATGTATTTTAAATAGAAACCTTTAGATTAAGTGCCATTTTTGCCAAGAATTTATGCATTTATTACTCAACACACTCATTGCTTCCCATATTGAATTATACATTTTGAAATTTTTCTAATTTTTAGTCAAATAAATATTTTGGACAAAAACAAATGTTTTTCTTTTACTTAGTTTCCCTTAAACTTGCTTGGCATAGTTGAAAACAACAATTTTTAATTTTTTTTTGGTTAAATAAATATTTTGGATAATTTTCAAATTTATATAATTTATTTTATTTAGTTTCATTTAAATATACACGTGGAACATTAGAAAAAGAAAATATTTTTATATATTTTTGGTTAAATATTTTATATAATTTTCACAAAAAAAACAACTATATTTTGCCTCAAATGTTTTATTTTAATTAGTTTCAGTTAATCATGACTGAAATAGTAGAAAAGTATTTCTATTTGTTGTTAAATAAATATTTTTCAGAATTTCCCACAATAAAACGAAAATGAAAAAAGATTGAATTTTTCTTTAAATGTATTTTTTATTTCGTTTTGTTTAAACATACACGTGGAATAGTAGAAAATGCTAATATTTAATATTAATATTTATTAGTTGGTTGCAATTGGCTGACTTGAAAATGCTTTTTATGTTCTGCTTGCTGGAAAAGTGGAAAATTGAGCCGGAACCTGAACTGTTTGCAGTCTTGATGGGAAGTGGCTGAGTATCGAAGATCTGGCTCAGTTTACAGCTCATCCTTGCCGACATTGATATCGTCCAGGTCGATGTCGCTCAGATCGATGTCCTCCTCGGCGGGCAGCTGTCCATCCTTGCCGTCCCAGGGATCAACGCTGACAATGGTTGGCTTCTTGGCGCCGCGAACGGGGGCGGTGTGTCCCCGTCCGTAGGAGATGTCGCGCAGGAACTCGCTGATGCCGTCCTTGGAGAAGGAGCCCTTCAGCACCGAGAATTTCATCTTCTTGAAGTTGACCACGGCCATCGCTGGATAACCGAAGCCGCCCACCTCGAGAGACTCCTCCAGCGCTGGCTGTTGGCCACCCTCGGCCCAGGCCCAGCCCCACAGCTTCTGCTTGAACTTCTCGCCGAGAGTGCGCAGCGTGTCCAGCAATTTGTTGCGACACTTCGCATCGCAGTCCAGGATGTGGGGCAGCACAGAGACGACGCACAACGGTCTGCCATCGCAGGCGCTGTCGAAGCTCGATTCGCCGGTGATCTCAGTCAGTTCCGGTGCTGGCACATTTTCTGTATGCTTGTCGCTGGCCCAGCTAATGATTTCGGATGCGGTGCGTCCGCCATTGTATTCCTGAGCATCGCTCGCCCGATTCGTGTTCGCTGGGAAGAATTTGATGGTCGGATAGCCGCGCACATTGTACTCCGACGCCTTACTTTGATGCGCTGTGGCATCCAACGCGCCAAACTTGACCTTGCCACGCAGCTCCTTGGCGGCCTTGGCCCACTCCGGCTCCAGATTCTTGCAGTGGCCGCACCACGGCGCAAAGAACTCCACCAGCCAAATGTCCTCTGAGTTGAGCACCAGCTTGTCAAAGTTATCTTCCGTCAGCTCGATGACATCACCGGAAGAGCCGCTTCCTCCACTGCTCCTTCCTCCGCTGCTGCCTCCGCCACCGCCCAAAGCTGCTTGCACCTTCCGCTTGGCCTCGGCTAGCGCCGCCTCCGCAATTCCGTTTGCTGTGCGCTGCCCACTGTAATCCGTGGGCGATTTCTTGTTGGCGCCGAATATTTTGATGGTGGGAAAGCCACGCACATTGAACTTGTTGCCTAGCTCTTTGTGCTCATCGGCATTGACGGAGCCAACTTTAATTGTGCCCTTGACTGCATTGGCCAGTTTCTTATACTCGGGTGCGAGAGACTGACAGTGGCCGCACCACGGTGCATAGAACTCCACCACCCAGATGGCGTCATCCTGCCCAACGAGCCGGTCAAAGTTGGTTGGCGTCAATTCCACAACATTGTCGGAGGCGGAGTAGAAGGCGCTTCCTCTGGCGACAAGTAGCAGAAGTATGCTGGCTGCTGCGGGGGCGTTTATCCATATTATTGTCTATTAACAGTTAAATGTGGGAGTTACGAGCTATGAGCCACTTACACGTGTACAGCAACTGCATCATTGTTGCTTATCTTTCAATTTGGATTGATTTTCAAATGTACTTCAGTTTTTATCGTCGGCTTCCCAGTTGAATGATGTGTTGATTCTGTTTCTGATTCAGCTTTCTTGGCTATATTTGCCGACTTACACGTCACTTGGTCGCGTTGACTAGCACTGGCAACAACATTCGCGCTGTAGCTGCTTAACATTTGCCCAAATGTTATTTTTTGGCGCGCTTTTTTTTTGCGCTTATCGAATTTAAAATAACACGATGAAAAATAAGCGATTAAGTGTCTCTAACCTACTTTTTGCGTTAATATACTAAGTATATTGTCAGGTGTTTGGTTTTTTTTTTAGCGTTCCATTGCCTAGTTAGATTTTGTTGCAAGCAGCCACTGTGCAACACATTATTGATATTTTGTTTTACTTGCCACTTCGCAAATTTACTATTATTCCGCCAGATGACGTTCAGTTACCAGATACATATCGATATCAACACAACGGTAACGGTTCTATGATGTGCAAATGCTGTCTACATTCGTCTTTTTTCTATTGATCTGGCAGCAATTGCGTGCTCGCGACAAAGCACTGACTGCTGTGCAACGCAGCGTGCTTATGGAGAGCTGCTCTGACAGTTAGTTAATTTCATGTGTCCCGTTAGAGCTCTCATATAATTCACTCGCAGATTGTTTTCTGTGTCTGTCGCACCAATTACACCCCTCACCCCGCGCAGCCAGCTTCCTGCGTGTGCGTATGAGATAAAATATGTGGTCAATTTCACTTAATAGCGACTTAGTAGCAGTGTGGCCAAGATTTATGTGACGTTAATATTGCCAGCAAGGAGAGAAAAACCAACTTTTTGCTTATTGCATGTGTGAGTGTATGGCTGTGATTTGTATGCATGTGTCAGTGTGTGTGTGAAGGGTTAATTGACATCTGTTTGGTTGCCGCTTTTATGATTATTGAATTTTAATGCACATCCAAAATGGAAAATGGGCACACTTTCCTCGAATCAGGATTCAATGTGAAAAACTCATAAATTGCAAAGCAAAAAGGAGGCGGGGCCAAATCGAAATATAAACCTTTTACACTCACCCACACAAATACATAATGTCTATGCCACATTTGCGTTGCACTTTCCGGTTAGCTACCACTCTAATCATAAAAAAAACAATTTTACGTTTATACACGGGAAACAAAACAGTAAACTTTTGGAATTTTTCTAAGAATTTATTTCAAATTATTTGTAATTCATTTGCACACAAAAATGGGAGTAATATTTTTAATAGGCAAAAAGAAAAATAAATAAATAATATTTACAAAATATTTATGTAGATTGATTTTTAGTTTATTTACCAATATATTTCGAGTCACGTCGGGATTATATATATTTTGTAAAAAGAGTTTACCGAACCATAAGCAGAGAATTACTATTTGGTTTTCATACAAGTTGTGACACTCAAAACTATCTTTCTTTCTGCTCATTTTGCTTTATTAACGACTCCTTTCTTCTTCTTCTCTTCTTCACTTTGGCGATCACACAATTGATATCGATCGACATCGATGTCAATGTTAAGTACATAGTTGCAGTTAGGTTACAGATGTTATGTTACAGAATTAGCACTACATCATAAGTAGCCTGCTAGAAAGTTAATGTATATTTTTTTCTGCGAGTGTATGCACATTCACATGTGGGAATCCCCACCAACACGCACATTATCCATAGACTTTGGCCAATGCGTATGCCCGGCAGAGCAATATTTTTTTTATTGATACTCATCTGTGTGTGTTTTTTTTGGTCGGGGAGGTTTGAGAAGAAAAAGTGAGGGCCCAAGAAATAACCCCTTAGTCGAACACCTTTGTGGACTCACTGACTGACTGACAGAGTGTCACATGACATGAGGCTGTTGAGAGGCGTGTTTGTCTCCTTTTTTTTGCGTATTTTTATTTTTATCGGCAAATGCCATTTTGCTGTGTGTCGCATTCACTTTGCGGATTTTGGCCATTATTCACTTGAGGCTGGCTCCGTTCGAGTGCTTTTGCGGCTTAGTTTAAAGTTGATTTTTGACACGCTTCTTACGTTTGGTGCATAAATCCCCTCCCACCAACTGTGTCCTTTGCCCTTTGCCCTCTCCCCTTGTCGTTTGCCTTGTTGCTTTGCTTTGCTTTGCAAATTTTGCGTTATCTATTTTTCTATATCATTGAGCTGTTTTTTATGGGATTTGCTGGGCTTGGCTTCTGGTTGGGTTCAGTTACTAGGTAACAGCCCCCCTCCCCCCACCCCTCTTTTTGGGTGTGTGTGTCAAAGTGCGTGAATATTTGGTTGATTTGACGTTGAGTTCTTATCGCTCATAATGCGACCATTGTGCAAATGTATAAAAGATGAAGATGAAGATATCTGCGTTATTTGTTTGCTTTTTTTTTGGCTTTTTCCATTTTTATATTTGAGTGCACTTTTTGGGCAGGTTGGGTGAAAAAAAAAACAAAAACAAGCAAATAATATGAAATTTGCGTATTCAAAAAGTGATTATTATTTATTTATTTATTTTTTTTGAATTTTATGCCAAGAAAATGTTTACCGGCCAAGATTTATTTCTTATATTTTGCGCTCATTTTTTAAATTATGCTTTTCTTATAGGAATTGTCAAGCATTAATTTAAATTTTGTAAGCTTAAATGTTAGTTCTCACTATTGCTAGACAAATATCCATGCATAAATCTACCACCAACTATATAATGAAATCCAAAACGTGATCAAACATAATTTGGGCAAAACGGTGTTGCCCCAAAACAGCAAAAAGACGAGCAAAAGGAAAGCTATTTGCCCACCTATTTGAGTATTTTGCTGGGTGACAAAACTTGTAATTTTCTTATGAAATAAACTGCAAATAAAGTGAATTTTATGCAAAATATGTTTAATAAACACAATCAAGTTTGGCGACGATACCCAAAATCGGGGTGAACAATGCCAGCAAATAACCGAAAAAGGGGGCGAAAGGACATCAACGCCTGCAAGGTTTTTAATTGCCTTGCAAGTTGTAGTTTATATATTTTTGGGTACCAACTTGTGTGTGTGTGTGTATGGGTGTGTGTATGGATGTGTGTGAGTGTGCTTGAGATGCCAGCTAGGATAATAAGATTGTAAACTATGAGAGGACAATAGAGGAGTGTCGTCGCAGGCTTGAGTTTATCGAATGTGTTATGTGTTCTTCCTCCTGGTTCCTGCTTCCTTCGTCCTGTGTCCACTTGCCCCTTCCTGGGAACGTAGTGTTTTGCCTTTTTAATGTCATTTCAGCTACTTTACAGCCAACAAGCTGTTTTAGCTCTTAACACTGCCTCAGAAAATGTTCGCAAAATGCCAACTCATTACAATTTGAATTGGGTAACTTTCTTGCAGACAAGGTCTCCTCACTTTATGTAGTTGGCAAAAGAAATTAATTGTCTCTATATATATGTATACATATACACTCAGAAAAAAATCGGCCAAAAAATGCGAAAGATTTTCTTGTTTTCAAAAATAATTTGTAAATAAAAGAATATACAAAGAATATTCAATTAGAAAGATGTGCCCAAGTCGACAATCTCAATCTCCATATCTAAAATATAGAAATTCAAACACTAAATCTCAGAAATCCTTTCTGAAATTCATAAGCCAGATATACAATTTTCGCTCTAAGTTTTCGTAAGTTTATTAATGTCTTGCAAATGATTTTTAAATATTAATTCTTAATAATTAATATAAGAATTATTCTATGTATAGACAGAGAAAAAAATATATTGGAAATTAAACATATTTTTTCTAAATTTTAGAAAAATTCGGCGAGAACTTTACTTTCTGAATAATGAGATGAGGAATCATTTTTCTACAAAAATATGACCGAACTCTAAAAAAAGTGCAGCAAATTTTTTTTCCAAGTGTACATTTATCCATATCAGGCTCGGTGACTTTGTGCTTTCTGCTGACGTTAACTTGAAAGTAATTTGATTATTTTCAATTAAAGTTTTCAATGGCTTTCCAAATGTTAAGTCTCATTCCCTTTGTAATTTGTGATAAGATTCAAAGTCATTAAAAATTATTCAGCATTCAGCAGTAAAATCAAATTTATCATTACATTTTTTTTTGTAGCGAGAAAAAATACAAAAATATTATGAATTATTTTTAATTTTACAAAAATAATATTAGTTAAGGAAAGATCTTTAACAATTGTATTTGAAAAATGCATTGTACAGTTCCATAACATTATTGAGTCGAATTTGTTGCCTTTTCAGTAAGGATGTCTCATATTGGTTTGCGATGAACTGGCGGTTTCTTTGTGACTGTCAATCACAAGTTTCAAACTCGAAAGGGCAGCGTTGTCAATTTTAATTTGCGTCCGAAACAATCGCCCCTCAACCACCCTCCATCCCCACCTCTCTTCCTCCCAGCGACCTCTGTTCAAAAACTTGATTATTTTATAAAAATATTTTGTTACGTGAAAGAATATTTTATAATTTCTTTTCCTGCCATTTTCCCATAGTCGGTTTACTTTTTTCTTTCTCCTCTTTTTTTTTTGTTTTGCCTTTCGTCGATATTAAATAAAAACAAGAAAATTGTTATATACTCCCCGTGACGAAGTTTGAATACCCTGGTTATTTTATTGGATTTGCTGAATTGTTATAAATGATATTGTAAAGTAGATCTAAAAGGTCAATAGCTTCCGAGCATGTAGATTAAAAAATAAATCCAAAAAACTATAGCTTCAATATTGAATTGTTATGGAAAATTCAAATACCCTCTGAGCGGATGTAACAATAACAACTGAAAGAGGAGAAAAAAGAAATGGCAGCTTTGCTGCTTTTGGCGTTTACCCGTGCAGTCAATTCTTGTTGCCATCTTTTGTTTTCATTTCTTTCATTTCTTTTTTTCATTTTTTCATTTTTTTATACTTTAAATATTTTTCAGCGCAAAATCAGCTTAGGGGCTCATTATCCTCGAACGTTCATTCATGTAATTTTTAATTAATTTTCCAGCGCCACAAAATCGAAGCAGAAAGAAAACAAATGAATGAAAGTGTATGTGGTATATATGTATACATATATATATATATATATATATATATATATTTATTTTTATATATAAGCTATAAGCTGCCAGTAACATTCGCACACTTTTCGCCATTTGTGGTTAAAGCAGTCCCTTTTCCTATTATTTATAATGAAGAGTCACAAAAAGTCTTTTTCCTAACACAGGAAGCAAGTAGCAAGTAAAAATGATGCAGTCACTAATTACAGACTGCTAGATACTCTGTTAAAATTCTAACTAGTTATTAGAATAATACAATATGTTATTAATATTCTGAACATTATTTTAATATAATATTTAACAAATTCGTTCCGTTCTGTAAACAAGCTTATATTTAAAAAAATACATTTTTATAAGATTTATTTGCTTTATTATTATTATTATTATTATTATTATTATATTTTATTAGCGAGTACTGATCATTAATATTAAATTTTGTGTACTTATTACTTAATTTTGTTCATAATTTAATGCCCCAAGCCAATATACCCTTTTCCTTGCAGAACAGGGCTTTCAAGGAGTAAGCAAAGGAGTAAAGGTGTTTCTACAGAGTTTACTATTTAATTATTTTGGCCTTGCTTGCAGCTTCTTATGTGGTCTCCACATAAATAAAAAAAAAATAATACAAATAGGAATGGTTTCGTGCACAACAACCGACTAGGAGATACACTGTTCCCAGCTCAAATACTTATGAAATACAAGCTCATTAATCCAGATACCCTTCTCCTCCTTTTGCCCGCTACAACTTTAACAACTTTTTTGGTGAGTGCAGTGTATAAAAAGTAACCAAGCCCAAGAAACAGCACCCGTAAAGCGAGCAAAGCGTTAATTGATTTTGTTTTATTCTTTTTGGTCGATGCTTGTGAAGCTGGTGCGCGGTTTGTTGGCCGGTTCTGTTTTCCACCCTGTTTGGGATGTTGCTCTCTTGGTTTAGCCTTCTGCTTTCATGCTTAATTAAATATTCATCAAACACACAATGGAAAACTTTTAAATACTCATCAAGTTGCGGCTGCCTCTTAAGATACATCCAAGGAGTCGCAGTTGCTATTGCTGTCCCTCTCTCACTCTCTCTCTCTCTGTCTCTGTTACCCCTGTTTGTCTGGTTGGCGTTCGTCTTCAACTGCTGGTCTCTGGCCCTCTCGCTTTCTCGTGTTTACTTCAGGCAAGTCTGCTCTAATCAATAACAAATCACCGTTTACTTTGTATTTTAAATCCGCTTTTTGCTCATCTCACACCCTCCACGACATACGTACATACATACATACATATATGCATACTTAGATCTATAGATGTAAGACAGGAATTCCCCATTGGAACATTAAAATCTCGTTTATTCATAACAAACTATAAACCCAAGACCGGAAACTCAACCCTTTTGTCAAGCATACATTTCTTGTTCCCTTTCTCGTATACATACATCTACATATGTACATATGTACGTATGTATTTATGTATGTATGTAAGTGTGGGTATAGCCAGTATCCTGATTTGAAGTGCTCTAACATATATTCATCAGCTTCCATAAAAACTGTTTTGATTGTGTGCAATTTATTTTCAATAGAGTCGCATAAATTAAAATAAGTTGATACTTTCTTTTTATTTAAGTTTGTACTTACAATTAACAAGTTTATTTAGAAGAAAAAGAAGAAATATTATTGATGTACGAGGGGACGTTAAATATTTTGCAAGTTGTTAATTGAATTCTTTTTTGGCAAGTGCCAAATTACATTTCCAATGCCGGAAGCACTCTTTAAAATACTCGTGTCAACAGATATCGACAGCTTTTCAAATCCGATTACTCATCTGCTGTAAATTAAGTTACGATCAAGTTATGATTCCACCTTTGGAACATTTAATTGATTTCTCTCTGTCAACCCTTAGTCAGCCATGGACTGCAGCCAACCAAAACGGAATTGGCGAAAAAACCCCTTTAGGAGAACACTTGCTCCGAACGCAATTAACCAGCCGAAACGCCCACACATTAAGCAGGGCACGCCAGGAATCCCATGGCTGGGAAACAAAGCCTTTTTGATGTCACTCTGCAAATGAACAAAAAATGAAAAAAAAAAAATTAAATATAATAACGCAGACACATCAAACGTGGTCCTCGTCGTCATATGTGACATATTTGAAATATATGATGAGCATATCACAATCTATATAAGTATTCCTGGAGCCCGACAGCAATTACACACTAATGTATTTACAGCTAAATGGAATGTTTTAATGAATTTATATTTCGAGTGCCAAATGAGGGTGAAAAATAGAGACAAAGCCAAAGCCAAAACCAAAGCCAAAGCTAAAATCATACAATTTTTTTTGGTATGTTGCCCAAAAATAGAGCGACCTGTGGTGCCTTAAGGTAGGTCGTTGAACTATTTGGATTTTCCACTTCGTGGTTTGTGTCTTCTAAGATCAATTTATTTTCGATATTTCTTCAAATTTAGCCTTCATTCGTGCTTTTTGTCATTCACGCAAACAGGCATTGTTTAGAGGGGGAATACTTTACATATCAATGGATTGCGTTGTGGCCTCAGTTTCAGGAGAGGAAGCGTTAGTTGACCTAGAACTTGAACTATATCCGACCGATTTCCCCGATAGCATATACCTAATGCTTTTGTGATGTTGTTGACATTGTAAAAAGCCTCTACGCACACAAATGTCTAAGGCTGCGGCTCATGATTATTAGCTGAAAAACGAGGAAATTACATGCGTTCATTTTTAACACACATTTGCATGTGTGTACACTCAGAAAAAAGATTGACCTGATAACTGGAAAGCTTTTCTTGTTTTTAGAAATAATTTCTATATACATATATATATATATTTTTTAGAAATATTTTTTATCAATAAAAGAAATCAATTTTAAAATTTAGAAACAAATAATGAAATTTACTTGGCTTATTATAATTATCTAAATGGTTTACTTATATTTAATCTGTAATACTAATTGTTTTAAATAAGCAACAAAAAGCTAATGAAGACTATTCTAAAGTTAATGCTATGTTTTTTTGAAGTGTATGCTTAATATTTGAATCTAATTTTTGTTTTTATCTCATTAAATTTAAAATATAATGGCAAATATTTGTTTGGATGTAGTCATTTCCGTCCGTGTAGTTATTATCTCCGTCCAAATCGAAGCATCTATTAAAAATCAACTTAGATCGAATGAAAACTGAGAAGATGGGGGAGATCACAAGACTTTTTGAAAAGGGGAGATGAATATTTTGAGTCGAAGCTTTAAAAATAAATGCACATTGCGCAAAGCTGCGACAGATCGCTGGCGTGATGCTCTTTTGTCTTTGCTCCAACGGAAAATGACTATAAAAGCCGGAGATTCGTGCTCTCGACACGTCAGTGGGTGAAATGAATCAGGCGTCGCTCTACGAACGCGCCAACCAGGTGCAGCGTCACGATGCCAAGATTATACTGGAGGAATACGCCACGATACTTCAGTGGCGCTCCGATGGACAGGACAGTTTGTTGGACGTTGGCTCCGGGCCGGGCAATGTGCTGATGGATTTTGTGCATCCGCTGCTGCCAAAGGGCTATCAGCAGCTGGTCGGCACAGATGTCTCCAATAAGATGGTGGGCTATGCCAACAAGTGCTACGAGAGCTATGCGAGAACCCAGTTCCAAGTGCTGGACATTGGCTGCGATCGCCTACCCGATCATCTCAAGGGTCGCTTCGATCACGTCACTTCATTCTACTGCCTGCATTGGGTGCAGAATCTCCGGGCTGCATTGGGCAACATTTACAGCCTGCTGCGAAATGAGGGTGGCGATTGCTTGCTTGTCTTCCTGGCCAGCAATCCGGTCTTTGAGGTGTACAAGGTGCTGCATGCCAACAAGAAGTGGGCCCACTACATGCAGGACGTAGATCAGTTCATTTCACCCCTCCATTATAGCACTAATCCCGTCGAGCAATTCACCCAACTGCTCAGCGAAGCGGGCTTTATTCATCACAATGTTGAGCTGCGCAGCGAAGTATTCGTTTACGAAGGAGTCAACACATTGAAAGGTGAGTTTGATCCTGTTTCTGTTTTAATTGCCTCATTAATAATTGTATTTCCGGTAGACAATGTTAAGGCCATTTGCCCGTTTCTGGAGCGCATTCCAAGCAAGCAGCACGAAGAGTTTCTGGATGATTTTGTTGATGTGGTTATCGCCATGAACCTTCAACAGGATCTAGTTCAAGATCACAATAACGATCGGTTGCAGCAACGCTTCATATCGCCCTACAAACTAATCGTGGCCTATGCCAGAAAATCTCCAGACTTTCTGCGCAATATGCTCAGCGAGATGGGCATAAAGAAGAGTTCAAAGGGTCTGGAATGAAAGAAAATGGACTCCCTTAGAAATTAGTTCCTAGTAGGTGTATTGGCATAAAAAAACCGCTAAAGAAGCTAAATTAGACACATCTAAACAGTGAGAAGTTAAAGGTATGTGAACCCCTTATTAACCGTATATCTTGAGAATTATTTATACTATGAATAATTGAAATAACAAAGCCTTAAATAAAGCATAATTTAGTAAAAGAAATATTGCTTATTTATAAAATCTAACAGACAAAATTCTCATTATTAAACCCAAGTGATTTAAAGCTGATAATATATTAAGTTAGTATATAAGATATCTAGTAAATGCAGAGCAGATCTGTACTGAGAGAAGTATCTATTATTTTGAAAAAGAGTAACGAAATAAAAGAAATACTTACACAGATTTTACTTCTTAGTTGCATTTATCATTCAAGTGTTGAAAATCAGCTTATACATTCTTGAGCTGCTAAGGAATCGAAATAAGCTTCGGGTATCTATTAGCAGTTCGTATATGTTTTTGACAGACTAATTATTGAAAAGAGTTCACCCACAGCCAAACTGCCAGCGTGACCTCCACGGAATATATATTTTATAATGTGTTTTCAATAAAGTTGCAACAGAGGCAACAGAGGCTTGAACCGCTCGTGACAGCGGCAGTTGTGAAAGGGTTGAAATCATTTTGAGTCTTGGTTAATACACAGTATATATATATATATATATGTATATGGGACTTAGCAGTTATAATTATGCGCTACCTGACGCACAGCCCGGCAACAATTTTAATTGTTTTTTCCGGCAAAAATGTACATACGCATGCAACGTTGTCGGCGGAATTTTCAAATGAGTTATTAACGCGACGACGGCGAAAACGTTGATCCAACAAATGCGCATCATGTCATTTATCATGGAAAGGGCAACGGGAGGCGTGAGGCGAGAGGCAGCAGAAGCAGGAGCAGCAGCAGCGGCAGGATAAACATTAACAGTTTAGAGTTGGACAGCTTGAAGGCTGGAAGACTTCGATGCCTGCCAGCCAGTTTTATCCTACTCCGTTGCGTCCCTTCGGTGCCGGGGGGTGGTGGGTTAGAAAGTAGTGGTAAATGTTTGTCTTAATCTTTGATTTTTGTTGCTGCTCTGTTCTGGCAAATGTAAACGACAGGAATTAATTTAGACAAATGATTTCTCAAGTGGAGAGCTTCAGCTACGGAGTTTTGGACGATTTGCCGGCTGTCAGTTGTGTGCCCCATCGCTATTCTTCTGGGATGTGCGAAGCGTTTGGGCGTGGCATGCGATTTGTGATACACTCCACTCCTCCCTCCCCCCACAGAGAATAACAACGGCTTCCGGAACCCCACTCAAAATTGTTTTCGCAAACACAAATTTTCGTATTGAAATTTGATTTATTTGTTAATTTGTTTGTAATGAATTTTCCGTTTGCTTCGCTGCGTGCCCCAGCCGATAGAGAAAGAGAGAGAGTGCCCGAGGGGTATGGGGCATGGGGCATGTGGCATGGGTGCGAATAGCGGGTAGAGCCAGCATGGTTGGGCGCCATTTAATTGCCCGCCAGTGCTTTAGACTGTGCCTGGCATTTTTGGTTTTCTCTTGCATCATTTGTTCGGCTAATTTCTTAAGTTTGAAGACGAATTGGTTTCACTCACAGCGAAAAATGTTTGTGCATTGATTTGGAAATAACAATTGAAAAATTGAACTTTTGTCTTTACAGCATTTGGCTTTCTTTGCCTTCTGGCAACAACATACTTGTTGTTCTGTTTTTATTTGTAATCAAATTAATGCACTTATCACAAGTTTTATACATTTTAGTTGAATGGAGATCTTTCCTTCATTGCCTCAAATATTATAGCAATACCTTTATTTACTCATAACCATAGCTCATTTATATATAAACGTCATAATTTTAATTACTCAATGCTGCGTTGATTTATCTAATTAGCAACTGTGTTGATCGATATCAAGAAACATTAGCAACTCTGCTGATCGAGAGATAAAAATTTCGATAAGAGTTGGCTTTTCACTTTTTAGACGACGATCAAATTAAAAAGAAAAACTTGGTACACGTTGTAGCTTATTACTACAAGTCTATAGCAATATTATTAATTACTTTGAATTACTCAATTTTGTATTAGCATGTGTGACGATTTATCTAATTAGCAACTGTGTTGATCGATATCAAGAAACATTAGCAACTCTGCTGATCGACAGATAACAACATCGATAAGAGCTGTTGTCGCACTTGATAAAAATATTAACTTATTACCGCACTTCTCAGTTGGCCTTTCACTTTCAGTCTGGCTATAAAAAACATGTGTCAAACTAGAACACGAAACTTGGCCGACTGAATGACGCTTGCAGATTGGATAAAAAGTGCTCATAACAGCAAATTATGCACACATATTATAATTAGAGTTGTCCTTGTGTGCTCTTTTATTAAATATTCCTCATTAACAAGAAGCTTTTGTTTGGCCACACACAGCCTTTGATATGCTTATTATACGGTTCTACCTAAATTACATATCTGCTGCGCTGCAACTTGCGTTGTAAATGTGAATTTTAATAAATTATATTGCAATATGACAAAATAAATATACAGCACTGTTTGTGCCGCGAGTCAGCATGAAAATGAAGGAAAATGAGGAAGGTTTCCCTCCACGTCTCTCATTAATATTTCAACTAATTTTTCTTTTTGAAAAGTAAAAAAATGTTTTGCTGAGCTAATTATGCACAACGTTCTTCTCTTTTTTTTTTTATTTTGAGTCGAGCCCACGGGATAGCAGAGTTAATCCTTTTTCATTTTGGCCACTTCATTACGTTTGCTTTGCAGGGCTTTGGTTTATTTTAATTTCGTTTTATGATTTAACTTTACACCTGCTCGCAGGGCTGACGGTCAACTGAGGGGTGGGTGGTTGAGGTGGGGGTGGGGGACAAAGAAAACAATACCGGAAATGCCAAAGACTGCGATCACTGCAGCAGCACTTCAATTAAAAATCCGAGTAATGGCCGAGGCACTTAAGTGCTTTTTACTCCTTTTGTGTGCTTTTGTGTTTTTGTGTTTCTGCGTGTCAGGTGTGAGAATATTTCTTTTGGTCCTAAATAATTTGAAACATTTTTGATGACGTCAACGAGGACAATGTGAGTTGGGCCCAAAGGGACGCAGGACAGGCAGTAATACGAGTGCATGAGGACTTCTTGGTAGGCATGCCGGGTCAACGGGTTACGTTGGGTTGCCTGCGAAAATCTTCGTGTAATCGGATAAGGTAATTGGAGGCTTTGTCTAGACATTAAGTGTACATAGTAAATTTGTTTTTCAAGTTGTTCGAACCGTGGGTTGTTGCCCAACATTGATGCACAAGCCCAACAACTGTGCACAGTGGAGGAAACTCTGTAATCCTTTTTTTTTATATTTGATAAGTGATTTAAGCATACATATTTAATCACTTCAACTATAATTGGGCATGAAGGAAACATTTTTGATCACAGTGAAGTTATTAGAACTCATATCTTAACTATTTTATGTAGCCATTAAATAATTTAATATTTTCTTTGGTGGTTTTGGCATCAGATTTTCAATTTAACTATGGCTTATGTCTTTGGTTACTAAACTCTGTTAAAATTCTTCTTGCCCGCTTTATTGTATTTAATATACAATATTTAATATTTAATTTATCTTTTCTCAGACTTTCAGTTTTTTTTCCATCTGGAAAATTCAATATATTCTATTATATATTTAATAACCACTGTGCTCAGTTGGCAGCAGTTACATCTTTGCGCTTTAATGAGTAGTTCGAAAAAGCCTTTTGCTATTTCTGTTCGAAAGTTTTTGGTAACATATGTGTGTATGCACAAGCGGGACCTTTTCTCAACAACAACAACAACAACTATAATGGTGGCTTTTAATAAATCGATTTAAATTTTTGAACATATTTTCATCTCTGGAGAAATTTGATAGTTTTTTACAATAACATTTTATGCGGCCATTTCTCGTCCACTAGCTGCTCCCAGTTGCCGTGTGAGTCCAAAAACTACTCGAGCAGTTAACTAAAATAATAAAAGCAACAAACTTGTTACAACAACAACAACAACAACAATGGCGACGACAACAGCACTGCAAAACAATAACTACAAGCTCGTTGGTTCAAGACCAAACAAAGAAACTATAAAGTTTACGGGTCACACGATGCACGATGCACGATGCTCCCAGGACTCCACCAGGACTGGCACCACTATGATGATGGTGTCCTCGTCCTCGTCCTCGTCGTCGCCATCGTCGTTGTCGTCTATGCAGCTTCCTGTGCATGGCAATAAAATTGCCCTCGCCCATAAGTATGCTACAGTTTTCATGGTGGCTTATGCTGCAAATAGTTTTGCCACGCCCCTCGACCCGAGCACAGAACAGAACAGAACCGAACACATCATAATTAATGCAAAGCTGGCAAATGTATGCAACACCTGCGGTTTGTTTTAAAAGACCGCAAGCATTCCCAAACTCACCCAGCAGCGGGTGCTCACCTTGCAGCTGGTTCAGTGGCCTGCTCTCTCTCTGCCAGTTTAGTTATTGGCATTATTTTCTAAGTCGCTGACATTTTATGTTTATTTAATTGCAGCCTAAAAGCAGACAACCATTTTACGAACAGCCGTCCTCAAGGTAGCCGTTGGCTATGCTACCTCGTTTTGTGGCCGAGTCCAATCAAATTTCAATTTAATTTCAATTTGGCATTCAATACGCTTCACTTTTCGATTTCAATGCATTGCCGCTGGCATAAAATTGACTTCAATTTGTTGGCATATTTTGCGGTCAACAGGACAACTGCTCGCATTGCCAGCAGGACGACAGAGGTCGATGCCCATTCCCCATTTCATTTATATATATACATATATAAATGTTGAGCAAAAGGCGATGATGACAGTTTGACAGTTTACCTTTGGATTGTTCCATCTCATCATGCGGTTGTGGTTGACGACTACTCATAATTATAATTCAGTCAGTTTTCCAATTGCCAATGTCAATTGTTTTTGAGCATGTTTGCAATTGTAATTGTTGTGTTCCGGATACTTGTTCCACTTATGTCTTCATACTGCGGACCAAAACCCATCAGTCGGCTGACTAACAACATTGAGATGTCAAGTTCGACATGATTACTGAAAAATATATATTCAGACGAGGGTTTTTTGTACCAGTAATGTGTATGTTATTTTCGACGATAGCTGCTGGCAAATTACTATAAATTAAAATGAAGTTATAAAAAGAGTGGAGAATTGAATTGAATTGAAATGTATATTTTAAATTGGTCTTGTTTTCATTTGCCTTATGGTATGGGTGAGGTTTTCTT